GAATTCGCGCTATGGCGGCCTAGTGAGGTCTTCAATGGCAGCTTCTCTTCATGGGTGCCAAAGCAGAAGTTCCCTGAGCGCATGTGCTTGCGCTCTTGTATGGCGTGCGGTGTGCAACTTGGCGGTGTGCCAAGCGGATCGGTGGGTCCATCATAAGTGGAATGCTTATATTTGGTAGCCAGCTAGTTTTGTTGTTGTTGGAGTGGCATGATGCAACGCGTAGATGATGCGGAAGAGATGCTGGTGCCGAGGCGCTGCCGCAGCGATAGAGTACCGCATGACACCGGTGCCGGTAGGTACAGGGGTGGTCGGGGCGGGAGTGGTCGGGACGCAGCTCGGGGTGCCAACGACGGGTGGGGTCGGGCACTGGAAATGATAACAACAAACGAGATGATTAATTGTTGGATCTAGAATGTCTGGAGGCGCTACTCGGGCCGGAACGCCAAAGAGCAGCGCACGTCTGGATTCTGCCTCTGGAAGCAAGACGCACGACAGAAAGTTTGGCCGCCAGTTTTGATCTTTCAAGGGAGCTTTGATCTGCTAAGATGCAACGTCGCTTCAGACCGTTTCGAGCCAGACTCATAGTGATTTGTCGCGACAATTGGAAAGATAGCATCGAAGCCGCCTTAAAAGCAATTGTGCTCTGAAAAGTTGCGCGGGGATATTTCACCGGAGTCGCTCTTACAACGGTGGTTTCTTGAAGACCGCTACGCACCCTGTCTATGCAAACCTATTTTTGCGAAGCTCGGTTTCCCAACGGAGGAGTCCGCTATTGGAGCCGAAGGAACGTCAAAAGGAACCTACAAACCGAACCTTCAAAAGTCGGGTAGTGAAGAAATGAACTGCGAAATGTGGATGCAGCTAAACGCGGCAAGCGGCCGGGGCGACCCACCTGGCCGACGCAGCAGATTGACTGGGAGCCGTCCGAGTTATAGCACTGGTTGGGGGAGCCAGGGGAGGACAGGCACGTGCCGTCGGGCCCGGGTTGGGCAGAAGAAGGCACGGTAGGAGCAGGAGTGGTCGGGGCAGGGGTCGTGGAAGCAGGAGTGGTAGGTTCAGGGGTGGTCGGGGCAGGGGTGGTCGGGGCGGGAGTTGTGGGGGTGGGGGTCGTAAGTGCGGGGGTGGTGGTCGGGGCAAGAGTGGTTGGATCCGGGGTAATGGGAGCCGGCGTGGTCGGCTTTGGAGTGGTCGGTGCGGGGGTAGTAGGGGCCGGAGTGGTCGGCTTGGGAGTGGTTGGAGCGGGGGTAGTCGGCTTCGGAGTGGTCGGGGCGGGGGTGGTCGGTTTTGGAGTGGTCGGGGCAGGCGTGGTCGGTTTTGGAGTGGTCGGGCGGGGGTGGTCGGCTTTGGCGTAGTCGGGGCGGGAGTTGACGTTGGGAGAGCCGCGAAAGGCACTGCAAAAAGGAATCGAGGATAAATGCTTGATGCATGCAACCCCGGTTCTCCGACCTTTCCTCGAACATTCCTGACCATGTGCAGAGTGAATCGTGTTGACAATGACGTAATGGCGCTCTCACTAAGCACTCCCAAAGCAAGTGTTTCACCATCTTCTTGAAACGTCCATCCCCAGACGCGAAAGCCGAAGGACCTTTCGTGGCCCAGCTTGCCAGTTCAGTGACTCTATCTCGCGGAAAACAAGAAAAAGCTTCTCGCTTGGATACTGTGCTGGCAAGTCGAAAAGAAAGCAGTAGAGAAAACGTATGCGGAGAGCTGGCGCTTCAAACGATCCGAAATTTCGGTTTTGGGGGGGTAACTTACGCAGAGTGTTGCAGTTCATGCTAGAGGACCCCACGCGCTTGTTGTCCGCGTCGTAGACGACCTGGCACGGGAAAGGAAAGGAACGTGAGGCATCGAAACAATGGTCAGAAATAAGAAAGGAACTGAATTGGGGGCAGGGTTCTTTGCAGAACCTTTTGGTGGGGAGTCCAAAACGGGGACGCTTTTTGGAAAAGATGAGGTTGCAGACAAGATGTATATTGAAGCTGGTACAAGACGAGCTCGCGGATGCTTTTGCTGAGGGGATGAGGACTGTTATCTCGCAGGGTTAAGCAAAAAATAATAATCAGGAGAGGCTAGCCATCACATTTTCGAGAGGGCGTTTTTGATGGTCAGATCATCGGGCGCGGTCGTTGTTCGGCTTAGCGGGCGGCGTATTTACGGTTACCAGATTACTGTAGGTTATCTGGCGGGGTTGTTTACTGGGTTACCAAGCGGGGTTAACGCTTACCAGGTTGTCGGTCGTGAAACTGGGGCCGATTTTGCGGACGGGGGGCGCGTCCGGGAAGGCCGCGTCATTTGGCCCCCCGTCGAAAATCCCGATGCTGATCTGCTCATTGTTTGGGTCCAAAGGGGTGATGTACGACTTGGGCCGCGCCACGATCTGCGTGCCGGGCAGCTGGATCGTGAGGACGGGGAAGCGCGCGTAGAGCTCCTCCGGGGAAAATGTGACGAACGTTGCGGGGCAGAGAAGCAGGGTGGATCAGACATTTTCGATTCGTTGGGGTTTCACATTCATAGGGTGATGGGATGTGCCTGATTTCTCTGGGTCGCACGTCTCCGGCCGGCGCCTGGGGCGCTCTACTCTTTTGGCTGATTTCAACAAGAGAGACATTGCTGGCGAACCCCCCTCTAGTTTAGGCGGTACGTGGCGAGGGCTGGATGCTTTGCTTGGATAAACAAAGCTTTGGTTAAGCCGTCTAAAACGCCGCAGCGCGCGCCTGAAAGTCTCCTCTCGGCCTAGGAATCTTCCGCGAACGCGGAAAAGCATTTAAGTTGGCGCTCACAACGAGGACGTCGCAACGTCGGGCGGACATTTCCTCTCATTGCAAGTTATGATATAGAGCTTGGCGGGAAAGCTAATGTCAGGCCTCCAGTCTGGAAGGATCAAGGGCGGGGGGGATGAAAACTTACGAGGGGTGCAAGTCGTGGTGCTGCAAAGACAAGCAAGACAGGGGGCACGCGTCAGACGAACTGGGAGCTTACGTAAGGGCCAATGGACCTTGGAATTTTCTTTGCTGGTGCGCTGGTCGGGCCTCAAACCGAAGTGCGCACCAGACACCAGGTCGAAAGCTTTGTCTGGAGGTCTGAAAATCCATGACATGCAAATCTCAGCGACTTTTAGAAAACGGGTTGCCTTTCACGGTGGTACTGACCGTCCACACTCGAGCTCTTAACGAAATCAGACAGTGGTGCCGTCTTGACCTTCGCCAGGCGTACCCTGACGCAATCAAGGCACGAACAGAGAAAACGCGGATGCTCACTGGTTCGTGAATGTTTCCGGCGCGTGCTGAGACTTTTGCGGAAGGTACGGTTCTTCTTTCACCGGGCGTCAAGCAACCGATAGATCTTTAACAAACAGCATCGTTTCGAGATCGACGACCGACAGATTCGTTGACATACGGCATCATTTCGAGATCTGCACGGAACGCTTTGAGCTTTTGTTTTGGACCCATAGACATGCTTCCAATGCGCTTAGGATCGCGGCGGAGCTCACTCGATAGCTTCCAGGCCGCCAAAGTTCTGAGAATTGGGGCAGCCGGTGGCGGTTTTGACGGCGGCGATCAAGCTGTTGAATAGCGCAGTACTGAGTACGGACGATACGGTGCCTGTAACGAGAGTGGAGTGAAAGTTGGCACTGAAACGAGGAACTCGGGCCGGCAGCTGGCTGCCCGAGAGAACGGGGGTGCGTCAGGGGCCAGGCAAGTCGGCCGAGAACTCTGTGAGTGGTCTCCAATCACGTGCTCTGAGGACAATCAATGGGATCAACAAGCCGTTTCGAGCAGCATGAGAAAATGGCTGTCCTTCAAGCCGGTTGCAACTCGAACGAAGACTTTCCACTTCAGCATTGTACGCAGTCCACAATTCAGAGGGAACCCCCGGAACATCATGCTAGAACGTCAGCAGTGACAAGACGTTACGACCACGTTGAAAAGACGTCACAAAAACGTCACACAAAGAATGCAGACACGGCGCATACAAACGGTCCAAATCCTGGGACGCAAGGACTTTGATGCGGCAATCTCATAGTGGAACCCACGATCCATTGGCCCCCCCGCCAAAGGAAACTTTACAAGGAATACACAAAGACGTTACAGAAGTGTTGCAAAAGAAGAAGCGCTTTGACTCGGAATCTTACTCGAGTCCAAGATCCACGTGGCCCCAGTATCTGCCGTCAGCGCTGCGGCAGCCCCCGGCACCGGGGCGCCGTTGAGCAGGACGTTTGTCGGGGCCGGGGTAGACCAGAACGGGGAGTTGGTGTTAATAGGCGGGGTGGTATAGCTGACTGCGTAGTTGGCACCGCCGGGCTGTGTGGGCACCCCCCCGAGGAAGAGCGTGCCGCCGGTGTCAAAGCCGGAGGCGAGGCACAGGCCGAACGTGGTGGTTGTCAAAGCGCCCACCTGGTGAAATTGGGGGGTGGACATGTTTAGCACGAACTTTGATTTAGCAATGCTGTGCTTTAGGAAGAGTATGCTAACCAGCCTAGGACGGGTGGGGTTAGTTTGGGGTTTAGGGTGGGTATATACAGGTGCGGAGCATGTGGTCTTGTGGGTTAAGATTTCGGTTTTACTTTAGAAGCTTACTATTGCTAGAGCTTACTATTGCCAAACTGTCAGATACCACGTCAACTGTTACTGAGGTTTGTTTCTTTGGTCGTTGATGGTAATGGTGGTTGTCAGGATTTGGATCCAAGCTGTGAGCTGTAAATCATGACAGTATTTGTTGACACGGCCAGAGATTTCAAGGCAGCTGGAAGCAATGTCCAGCTGTATCAAATAGTAAGAATACAAGATAATTGAATGGCCATTTGTCTAGTTTGCATCTCTAGTACTCTGCATTGCAAACCCTTGGCTGCATTGCTTTTGCAAGTACTGATGGAAAGCAACGCCCCAACACCCTCACTTTTTCCGGAAGGCTTAGGTTTTGGGCGGAAATTGTTACCTTGGTTTGAGACTTTATAACCTGCTCTCACAATCTGAGATAACACAGCCTCAGGAAAGTAATAGTCCAGCCAACTTTAGAAGAGGTGACACGGGTCACTTTCACATTGAATGGACCTGAAAATGAAAACTGTATGAAGGTGAGGAACATAAAAGGTATGGTAGCGCAGATTGGGAAGAGGTTGCTTCTATGATCAGATAAGGCTCAAGAAATGAGATTGCTGGCAAGGTTAGAGTTAATGATAAGCCCTTAGACCCTAGCATTCTAACCCTGGGTGCTGCCAGTGCACCACAGAAAGAAATAGTAGACCTGAACAACTCAGATTCCTCTTGGGAGTAGAGGAAGCAGACACCAAAGCACCTTGCTTTGACACTGAACCTGAAAAGCTGACACCAATGAAGCCAACACCCGTCAATTGAGAGCAGTGTGACAGCATGTAAAGATTAGGAAACCCGCAAATTGAAAGTGACGTCTGAAACTGGGCACACCAAATTTGACGACAAGACTGACAAACCAGAACTGAATATTTGGAACAGCAATCGAAAGTCTCAATGTGAAATGTTCATGGAAGCGTGGAGCCTTGGTTTTCCGGCCTTCTTCTGCTTCTGCTTCTGCCCTCTTCTTCTTCTGCTGCATTTTTCAGGACAGGTTTGATGTGCTACATTTTCGACACATAAGCCCAGAATCTGAAAGTAAGCGCCTCCCACAGGATTACCCACCTGCTTCAGCTGCGCCGGCAGCGACGCTCCTGCGGGCCCGAACCCCACCTGCCCGGCGTTGGAATCATTGAAGTACTGAAAGATACTGGTTCCGAGGAAGATGCGCGCGGTCCCGGTGGACACCGACCCCAACGCCACCACGTCCCGGAGATACGGCCCGGCCGCGCCCCTGTTCAGGTTCTGAATCTCAAACTGGCACCCAGTGGAATACGCGGCCCCCAAGCACCCGGTGGCCCCGAGCCCCCCCGCAGCGCACTGGTCGCACGTCGCGTTGGAGAGGGCCGTGGTCGAAGAGGCCGGGTCGTACTTCGGCCCCTGGTAGAAGCAGAACGAGGTGTCGGCATCAGGCAACGGGTTTTGGTTGGCGGCAATTGGCGGCCCCGGGGCAAGACCGGCACTGCGGGCCCTGGACGAGGTTCACGTGGCTCCCCGTGTCGACGATCAGGGGGAGCGTCACGGGGGGGGTGCCCACCTTCACGTCCACTGTGAACGTGAACTGAGTGAGGAACCCCCCCCCGAGGGCCATGCCGGGGGTGGCAGCCAACAAGCTCCTCCTGCTGACGTCAGAGCTTGCATCTGCTACGTTGCGGAAGTAGGCGGCGCGGGTAGCAACCTGAGCTGCGACCTCGTCAGCGGAGAACGAGCGCTGCGTGACGGGTAGGGCAATGCTCTGGGCGGCAGCAGGCGACAGCTGGCAGATCAGGGGGGCGGCCAGCAGGGCCAGCAGGAGGGCGCAATGCAGGCGGAGTGGGGGCGCCATGTTGCTGATCATCGGCGTCGCTCTGTGAGAAACTTCTGAGGAATTCCGAATGCAGGTTGAGAATGGAGAGCTCATGTGGCTTGTACTTGAAGTTGAACTTGAAGTTGAAGTCGAAAACGCTTGCTGCTGAAGCGGCAAGCTGTTGAGCAAGATTGAATCGCGAGGGCCATATGGCATACGGTAGTTCTGTCGACTCAGAAAAAGGTGTACCGTGTTCCAGGTACCCATTCCAAATAGGTACCTACCTGGGTGTTGAGTAACTTGAGTTGCTTGAACGGTACGAGCAGGTACGTACCGGACTACGCAGTCTGAGGCAGCTACTGGTACAACAGGTACAAGCAGGCGGAGCAGCTGGTACCACGCACACCTAGGTATGAGGGCCTCAGCCGGCGAGCGACCTAATAGGTACCCTATGGGAGACTGGAGTCGAATCGAAAGTTGCTTTCCGGTCACAAAATGCCCCTTCGGAAGCACCCGGTGTATGATTTCCTTCAGCCTGCATGTACACAGTATTCTGTAGGTTCTGCTACTAGGTAATACGGTACCTATACCAGGTACCTACCTGCATACTCGTACCAACACGCCGGTTGGGAATTTTGCCCAATACTAATTAAATTTGGGCAACTCAATTTGGAATTTTTCGATTTTGAAATTTTTAGTGACACTTGGAATATTTGAACAAAAAGTTAAAACCCTTTTCTTACCGAGGACATATTCATGGTAATAAAGTTCTGGGCAAAACCGAAAATAATCTAAATTGACGCCCAAGGGCCAAGGGCCAACCGGCATGCTGGTACTGGTACGTACCAGGCTAGGTTTTGGATACAAAGCCCCAGGTTCTGATACACCTAATAATTACATATGCTCTAAAGAACTTACTTGGCACGAGCAGCCCGCGGGTTCTGACATCAGCTAGCGGCATGCCGCACGCTACCCTGGGTGAGCTTTAAGTTTGTGGTCCGGTTGAGATGTACATCTGGAACCGGGAGGACGCACTTAACCTAAAGACCCCAAAGCCTAAGCTCACGCGCCCTGCGCCCATGACCACTCTAACCCCTAGCTAAACCCACCTGTCCCGGGACACTGACCTAATTCAACCTGGCTGTACAATAACCTGGAAATGGTGCGCCGGCGTCGCTTCCCGTCGGCTGACGTGTGGCTTAATTATTGACTTGCCGGAGACTTCCGACAACCGCGTGCGCCTTTCCTAGATGTTGGCGACATCCGCGTTCACTTTAGCAGCCGGTGTTCTCCTCCAATTTCGCCCGGGGCACCAGGAAACCCATTCTCTAACTAACAAAGGGACGCCCTTCTACATCCGTGCCCGCCCTGTTAACTCCCAATAAAACCCTACCTGTCCCCGGGACTTGTTCTTCTGTGAATGTGGCCCTAAACGACCACCAATGTCGCCAGTTTCAATATCGTGTGAGTGACGATACAACCCCGGCGCTGACTCGTACTCTGTCACTCGGACCGATTCCGCCGGAATTTAGGCAGGCCTGGCCTGGTTGGTGGGGGGGCCCTCATCGAACGATGCAGGGACCCTGTTCATGGGCTGTACTTATCGTCGACGGTTGAAAGCACAAACTGCCTGTCCGGTTGGCAGCTCGTGCATAATGACCGAGTCGGTTCGTTTAGACTCAGGCTCCCACACAGTCGATCTTGGGCTACTCCGAGACTCTGATTCTCCTGTGGGCAGTGACTTCAGGTTTGTTGAAAACTTGCACTGGTGCCAGTATAGTTATGGTAGAAGGCTCACGAAGGCAACAGAAGAATGCTTTTAAGCTTCTCATACGGCGCTGCATGCGGATATCGTACAGTCAAATCAGCGGACCGGTACCTCGTAACCAGGCAACGCCAACGGCCTGCAGCAACTCCACAACCCCATGGCCCTGCAGGGGCGCCTGAAAAGTTGCATGAGCTGCTTGAGTAGTTGTACACTCAGGCTGTAATAGATTGAAATTGAGACGTTGATGTTTGCAGTCTTCAGGTGGGTGAGGAAAAGGACAGCTGGGGAGGCCGCCTGCTGAGCGCCTGCGGGACCACCGGATTTGTGCTCTGTACACCTTGTGTCTCTTTTTTGCGCCTCTTCCAATCACATGTGCAACGGGAACAAAAAAGCAGGGGCACCGTGCTGCTATGACCCCCGGCAATGGAGGTTGCTCCACGCGTTGGCTTGCAATTGGTTTTAATCAAGGACAGATTGTTGCTGCCTGATACCATCAGCTGAATCAATGTTTCATCACTCTGATGACGCACCATCTCAATCCTGGATACGATACGAGGCCAAGTATGAAGACTGAAATTAGGGATCTGGAGGATGGCAGTGAGCTGCTCTTGCAGCTGCCAGGTGAACCTGCAAACCAGAGCTTGCTTTCTTCTTGTATATGAGGACTGATGCTGATACATGATGCTGAGATTGACATGGATCAAGGCCTCTGCAGGCCCTCTGCTAGACTATATGCAGCTTGTTCGTGCGAGCGCATATTGCTCAGATTGAAGCTGTTGCTTTCTGAGCTTCCTTCCTTGCTGCCATGGGCCGCTCAGGAGCTCCTTTGGATGGCCACCATCTGACTCTGAGGTGTCCACATGCAGAAAAGACTAGCAACCGGATCAAAGGAAAGCCTATTGATTGGTGCCTTGTACAAAGAGCTATATTAGCTCTCATCATGTTTGGAGCCATAGCATGGGTAAGCAGTTCATCTTACCAACTTCAAGTACTCAAGGCTTTGTTGTTCTTGTAATACAGTTAGCGTGTGTTATATGGCAGGAGTCTCTGCAGAATGTGGCGCCCGTCCAAAGCTCCAGGTTTGCAGTGAGTTTGCCGGTTGAGTCGTAAAGCCACTATTCTGGCCAGTTATCAGAGCCATGCGGATACCCTGTTTAAGGTGGGGGAGGCGAATGCTTTGCATTTTGGACGAGGATGACCGCAGTACAAGAAGGTGGGCACTCGGTTTCACGTGATTCGTCCTTCTTTGATTGAATTCTACGCTTTGCCTCCGCGTTCTTGAGCACTCTGTTTCTGGAAAGCCGTAAGTTGCGAGCCTTTATCACCTCCTTCCTCTGCAGGTCATCTACATCATAGCAAGTGGAGAAAAGTAAACTTTTGCTCAGCCTGACGGTCGAGGGGAGCCTGCAAGACAACCGGGGATATATGTAGCGGCGTCTCACCATTACATACATTGACATGAGCGGCGCAGCGCGCGTATCAATCCGTCACAGTGGGCTCAGTGTCACTGGGGTGCTTCTAAACTTAAACACCTCTGTTTCCATGCCATTAGTAACGGACAGGCAGCTTTGACGGTTGAGAATGAATTGTCCTTATTAAATGCTCCGCCTCATGCAGGGCACTAAGTTCACTTCATGGCATGCCAGCTTGATGAGCTCAACATGGGCGTACGCAGGCTTGATCATGTATCTGCACACATTAGCATTCTGCACTGAGTAAGTGGTGTGATTGCATAGATGAGCTCAGGGGCGTTCCTATGTCTTCGAGTTACAGTAGTAAGGGTCAACCCTGCAATTGAATCAAGTCGATCAAGGCTGCAATATCTCTAGAGGTGTGTCGGATCTAGAAAGATCAACATGCATGTGCACACTGTAACCGCGAGCTAGCTCAATTGTTAGCATGGTCCAGTGACATATACGTTTATTCAATCGCGCAAGCTGAACGTGCCTAATTCATGCATGCCATGGCCCGCGGCATGTGACTGTGACATGATATACCGCAATCTAAGTAGGCCAGTACATGAAAAGTCACTATAATGCATCAACGGTTTGCGTGTCACTGAGCGTCCGGGAACTGGGGACCGGGAACCGGGGCCGAATTTATCATAACATGGCTCTAGCTGTTTTGTACGAACTTAATTGCATTTCGGCCACCAAAAGTATTATTGTGACGCGGCATCCGCATGTTCGATTTACAGGGGATGCGTGAGCTCGGCGGCAGGCCCCACCGCCTAGCAGATCATAAGAGTATGTTGAAAGCATTCAAAGGCGACAATAGACGGCTGCTGCACGGCCGGGTAGTAGATCGGACGGTGCGGCCCTGCCACAAAATTGTTCGCGGCTCGTGATCTGATGAATGGTATGAACTTCAGTTTTCAACTCCCAATCTAGCAACCTGGTTAAATTACTTTCGGACCGTGCATGTGGAGTAAATCCGTTTACCGCCCAAAGCTAGCTCTCACAGGAGACTTGCCGCGCAGCTAAGTGCAGTTTTGGGAGGGAGCAAGGTCTCTGCACATGCGACGCGTGCATTCACGACACTGCTGGTGCCGCGTCAAGGGGCAACTCGCTTGCGCTATGCTTTCTTTCAGGAGTTATGCAAGTTGTCCTGATGGCAATCTTCCCGTTTGCTAACTTTTGACAGTTTTCATTGCCAGCCTTTTCCAGCCTGAGCCAAAACGAAATCTGAAAGAGCGTGTATATTGGAGTCGCTCAATCGCGGTCCGAAGGTGCACTGGCCCCTAGGTTTGCACTCAGCGCCGTACCCCTGCATCAAGACAGCCGAGACCTGATTCAGACTTATCTGTTAGCAGAATCACTCGGCTTCATTGCAGACCAAATTTGGAGAACTGTCAAACAGAAGGAAGCATCATGACAACTACTCGTTTCGTTTTGAGGGGAACATACACAGTGATTCAGTCTGCTCATCCAAGCGTTTGCATTTTAGTGCCAAGTCCGCTGTTACTCTATTCGCAGACACACGGACTTACCGGCATCTTTCCCTTCCCGAAGTACGTGATCTTATAGATGGCTTCCTCAGTATTCATATTGTTCCTGCAGCGTATCATGACATGCATCACAAATTCCGGTGAAAAACTCCAGGACTCGTGAGGACTACTTTCATCGAAGCTGTTCTCTAATGGACAGAAGACGTTTGAACCGGAAGAAGGAGAACACACGTTGAAAGACGAGCTGGCTTTCTTGTTTCCTGATTCGCCCTGCTGTAGACACTGATGAGATCGTGTTTTGTTAAACGAAGGAAGGGCAGTTCACAGCACGCAGTATGTTCTACACCCCCATCGAGAGTCCGCCAGTCGGTGTTCATTTCCAATCCTTTGAAGTCTCACCTTTCAAGATCTTTCGTGAACAGCGTGGCGCCCTACATCAGTAGAAGAAGATGCCTTAAGAGGGAGACGTGCTAAAGAATATTGAAACGAGTGGCGGGAACCATGCACCGGTTAAAATGAACCATGCCAACAAAGGATTTTTCAGTATTTCATTGTAATGGTCTTTTTATAACTTCGACTCCGACTACTAAGCTTACTTGACTTGAGGAGAGGCCTTTTACTTGCCTACACGAAAGAAGCTCTGACAAAGCAGATTGAGCCAAAGCTTGCAGGCCCAGATTCCCAGGGGCTTCCAGGGTTCCGACAAACATTCAGCAAAAAGGAAAGTGGCCTACTGCTTGAACGACGTTTCCCCCTTTGTAGTGGCAGCCAGCGCAAGTTGTTGCGAAGACCTCAGCAGCCCCCCCGGCAACAAGTGTATCGGCAAGTGCGGCGCCTGCAATAGGCAAGCTGACTGTCCTGTTATTGCACAGAATCGATGTTGAGAGGCAGTCAAGACTTCAGTCCAAAGAAGCGAGGCCTTTGCAGAAGACTGGAATCAAGAGGGTGCTCATCAGACATTTTAGGTGACGTATGGCTGGCCCTGAAAAGCAGGATATCAGAGCAGTGACCCCCTACATGTCCAACATAACACTAGTGCCATGAGGAGACAAATTGCAGATCTAAGAGTGACAGACAAGAGCAATTTACATCAAGTGGTGAAAGGGCCTCAATCCCCTGTCTTACCTATGTATGAAGTGTCAGGATCTGCGCCTCCATCCTGGGAAATTACGATTCACCACAAGCCTAAAGATAAATCTTTTTCTTTCATTCAAGCTGCCAGAAAGTGCCCTCACCAGGTGCTGCCATCGCCAGTGCCGCAGCGACAGCAAATATGGCCACAGCTTCACGAACCCGGGCAGCTGCCTTAAGGGGCTCTGTTGAGGGTCAAAGCAGCAGTGCTCAGCAGGGTCTGGTGTGCGCTTCAGGTTGTTACTTGGAAAAGCCTCGAACAAAAGCTGACGGCTCAAGAATCTGGTTGACAAGGATTCGCCTGGCGCCATGAAGGCGTAGGCAGGTTCACATGGCTGAGTAACTCTCCTGGACTTTGTCTCACAGAGTTACGAGACTTCACCAGATTGCAAGTTTGCCCAGTCCTTTGTGCTCTGGAGCATTTCAAGCAAGCAATAACTCCACAGCTGTGGCCAGGGGCGCTTCATGACTTGTTGACGAAATAGGAACTCCACCTTGCAAAACTCACAAGCAGCTTCGGGGTCTCAAAATGCAACACTTGGTTCCACTTATGAGGAAGAGAGGGGCCTGGTGCATCATAGGACTCACCTTTCAGAGATTTGTTTTCTTTGAATTGGGTTTGCCTGCAAATCTGCAAATGCCACACCCAACTTACAATCAACAAGAGATTTTAGCTAGCGCCCACCATGAGCATGGTCCAAACTTCATGCTTTTAGTGCCTGCCCTCCTTTAAGCACAGCGTTATGCAATTGCTTCTTGTAAGGTGGTCGTACTGTTCCTGGATACAATAATACCTGTGAAACAAATAATACCTGTGAAACACTGTGAAACACAACACCATGTACTGAGAACATCACAAACTTACGCAGAATCCATCTGAGTCTGACACGCCAACCAGGTGACCCGGACGCCACTCTCCTGATCACCAAGGTCACACGACGACCACCACTCATACATCACAACAGCTTTCAAATCAAAGAAGGCAACGATAGCTCACCACCACCTGGGACCTGGTTTTGCTTCTTGAGAATGCAGCATTGTTAGGTAGACTAGGTTTTGAGAGAGTATTTGATGACAGGACTCGTGAATTGCAGCTCAGTGATTCAGGGCCAAGCAGTCTGGCGGAGACAGCGGCCATGATCCTGATCGATTGAGGATGGTGCAGAAACTCAGCTCAAACAATCTTCCTCGTGCTCCTCATCGCTAACCTACTCGCATGCACCTCGAGGAACCACCTTACGCTAATGTCCTAAGGTAGCTGAATATCTGCGCCAGATTTCATGCAACACCTTAATCCTCTTCTGTGAATCCTGATCGAGCATTGTGCTGCGGCTTGCTGCCAATGCTGGGCTAGCTAGACAGCCGCACTGCGCAGCGCAGTGCGCACCTGAGGTTGCCAGCTGGCACCTGCCCGCTGTGCTGATTGGTCATGCAGGACCTCTTAGTTTGCGGATTATGCGGAGTGCTACTGTTGGTCAAGGGGGGGGTCAATGAGCAGTAAATATTACCCCCCACGTCGACGGGAGCCCTGTTCGCCCGATCGCCATCTCTGGCAACCGTGCATCCGGTCCGAAAATGGATAAGATACGTACAGAGTCTGCAGAGCCAGCTCAGAGTCTCAGAGGCCTGCAGCTTGTCAATATAATAGCACATATCTCTCAATCGCTTGGTGCACCGATGCAGTTTCATGTAAACGACCAGCTGATCATGCTTTGGACTCGCTTTTGATCCACAATCACTTAGTTTCAACCAAAATCTCACCAGCTATCTTGTTTCTCGACATCTAACTAAGGCATCTTTGAGATTCGTCTTGGATTATGCGTCTAATGGACCGCGTCGACGATAAAGAAGTTGCATCTTCGAGGTGTAAACGTCCCTTTTGAGAACGCCAAGAAAGGCCTGCAAGTCTTACTACATTGAGCACAAATCAATTCCAAAGCTTCTTCAGATCATAGACAGCGCTGCGTTGCTTCATAAAAGAGTCAACGAAGCGCCACAAAAGTTGCAGATCAGTAGATTTTTCAAAGCACATATTTCAGCCGCCAAGTCATTTGACCACCAGAGTTGTATTTTAATGTTTTGGCAAGTGCCAGCTAATCTTCAATCAGGTGATCTCTAGGTCACACGTACGGAGGGATGCGCCGAATAGAAACCGAGTCAAATAGTAGTACAGCCGTCTCTGATCAATCAGAGCGATGTATACGCGTGCAGATTTGCAGATTCGAAGATGCAGATCGAATAGAACCAGTTCAATAAACAGGAGAACCGTTCTTCGCACATGGTGCAAAAATGTCAGCGAAGTCGCCAATTCTTGCTCATCATAGTTGAGCACGTCTTCGTTGTTACAGGCTTCGATTCGAGTCTGACGACTTATCCAAGGCAAGACGACATAGGGGTCGACGTCATCGAGACTTGAGCTTTGGGAGGACAAGCTGTGGTCCTCGATCAGCTTACAGTCAGCCCTCGGGTTTGCATCAGTAGCTCAAAGCTAGCGGCACAATCTGATACGTGAGTCGACCTCAAGCTCTCTTATCTGAGTGGATCAGCCTTTCACTTAAAGTCAAATTAGCCGAAGACAAAGACAACAAGCGGATGCCAGATAACGGAAGGAGTCTCCTGGATGGCCCTGCAAGGCGCTCAGAAACGATCTATGACCCCGTGGTCATGATCGAAGCACGTCTTGATGGCCTAGACGTACGTGGAGAACAGTATGCTGACGTCAACGGCGGGTTATGAGATGAAGATGACTTGATGAAAGTGGTTCTATATTCTGAACATTCTACTGTCCCCGAGCTGACATCATCACAACTTTCTTGCTGCAAGATTCTTTCCATGAGCTGCTGTTCAGCTTGCAGCCCGCTGTGCCATCCATAGGTCATCAGCACCGGGGTGAAGCGCCAGAGGGTTTTTACATTCAGGCCCCTGAGCAGGCGAATGACTAGCTAATCAAAGCAATTGGAGAGAAATAAGCCTCTGGGAGCTTGGAGCCTGGCTCTAGATCAGCAACGTAACACCGGCGCACACTTACTGGAACAAGAATGGCAGCTTGAGCAATGAATGGTTCTCGTGGTTCTAGAATCTGCTCCTACGACTTTTCATCACCATGGCAGGCTGGTGGAAGCCATTGGAGATCCTTGGGGTTGCAAGTTCTGAGAAGACGGCTGTCTTTCTCAGCAAGGTGAGCGTACAGGAGGCGATATGTTAGCTTCGAAGCTAACAGCAATGGCCACTGGACTGATCACTTAATATCCAAGCGCGCCCTGGGAATCAGCTTGAGAATGTGATCTGTCAAGAGGCATTCTGACGGCCTGTGTCATGTTTCATTCTGCGGAGAATCTGCTGAGAGTTTGTGCAGACACGAATGAACGGCTTTCATGCATGCATGCATCTTAAGCTTTATAGTGGCACTGCTTTGATTGCCTGGGGAGACTCATGAGATCCTAACGGAAAAAAAGAGGGAGTGAAGGTGTAAGAGAATATATTTGAGATTCGGAGTACCTGAACTGCTGCGGGCTCATCAAGTCTGCGAAGGGAAAGACCAGGAGCCATTCAGCCAATCTCGATGGTTGCGCTTTGAACCAGCTCGTTTTAAGTTAGTGAGATTTACTCTTCGTTCCTCTTGCAGGCTAGGTACGTCTTGGCGAGCGAAGAGTTTTTAGAGTTGCGTTCGCTTATGCAACAGCATGCTTCGAATCAGGCTAACTTCCATGACCTCTTGATATCTGTGCGACGTGTCTGCCTCGGAAAGGATGTTCCGGAAAACGAGCGCAGGAAAGCACTTTGGGCAGAGTTTCTGGGCATCATCACTCCAGCAGAGGCGAGGATGGCATTCCATCCAACCTGGGAGGTCCCCAAAATAGGTGATCTTCTTCCTTACATACCTCAAGGGACCCGCAGAAAAAGATCTAATGTGTGAAGCTGGATGGGAGTATAAGCACACGTTACTGAGTGGCCAGCTTCTATGTACATCTTTATCTATCCAAGACATGCACTGAGGACTTCGATCTGAGAAGAGACATAGATTCTGGATCGGAAAGGGACAAGTAAGCTTCGTCAGCTTGCTGAGCAGAGCGACTGATACCGAAGGGGAAATTTCAATTCTTTGTTTTCGCAAAGGAGCACTGCAATCTTTAAGGGATTTTGAAGCAACTAAAGTTGAAGCAACTAAAGTTGAAGCAACTAAAGTTGAGCATATCTGATTCTGGCAGGCATGGAAGATGTATCGCTCAAAGGGGACGTGTTCGAACTTCACCGACCGACATACTCGGGGCCGTGCGCCACGGCAAGGGTCCCAGCTCGACTCTCAGATCTCCCTTCGAGCCCCGCACTACAAGCAAGGACCAGAACGCTTCTGGCCAAAGTGGATACCTCCCAGAGTCGAATCGCTAACGCTGTCGATCTCAAAGTCCCAGGGTGGGACTGTCCGTTTGTGCAGAGAGACTGGCAGCCGGACCTCGTAGTGCATGCAGCTTCGACAAGTCAGTTAGAGGCATCAACGTCTGCTATGATGAATGGGGGTCGTCTTCTGCAAGACGGACGGCAGATGCCCGTCGAGTTGACGGGCGCATCCGCCAGTGGTGACGTCGAGACAGCGGATACGGAAGCGCTGGGATGGTGGCCGCTCACCAGCCTCCCTCTCAGAACCGCTTTTGAGGTAAGTTCTAACTAATTTTTGCGCATCTGAAAGGCCACAATGAAATAAGATAAAATAAACTGCTTCTGTTTGTTTACTTCGTGTGAGCGCCTACATGTAGCAGCTTCTGAAATTGCTGCAGTGGTGGCAACATTAGCAAAACTCTCTGCGTTTTGACTTCAGAGTTGAAACTTCGATCACGTTACGTTTACGACAGAAGGTGCGGCCAGTCGCGAACTACTTCCTAGCGCTCCCTGTCGGGACGAAGGAGATTCTCGCGGCCGCTTTTGAGTATATGACATCCGTCCTGATTGAAGTACATCCAAACATTTCGCAAGGGACGACTGAAGACGGACGTTAAGTGCTCGATTGACCTAGTTGGTCTCTCGAGCGATCTGTTGCCTCCTGAACCAGATTCTCAGTGTCGCTCAGCGAAAAGCTATGATCGCTTCCTCTGCAGATGATGAAGCTGGCGGCGGAAAGGGCGGCCTCGATAAGTGGCACCGTTGCATCTCCTCCAGTGTGGGACGAGTCAGTGGTCCGAGAGCACGGTGCAGATGAGCTGTCCTGCCCTCGGGCTAAAGAAACGGACGAAGGTTTAGGGACCCTGGAAGGTGCGCAGCAGGCGAGCTTGGTGCCGAGCGGCTTTTGGACGTCCACAGGCAGGGAGACAAAGATCGGTAACTCAACGGCCGCCACTCAGCTTCATCCGTTCTACACGGATACATCCTTGAGTCAAGCAAACGGAGAGGATGTCTGGGCAATCGAGCGGCCGCTACTTGCTGAGGATCAGCCGGCCATGTCTTCTTTCGTCTCGTCAGATGCTCTAACGCCTCATGAAGAAATCAGAGAGGTCCAAGTCACGCACGCAAGTGACACGTACAGCAAGAGGAGGCGTTTACTTTACGAGAACTACGGCACCTTCTTCTTTTGACCACTGTAAAGATAGGGCATCTTGCATAGCATACCTGACGCAAACGCTAAGGTGAGACTCGCTCGGCAGGTCAAGGGACGGCTTCCATAGTTCTTCTGATTTTCGCAGTTGTAGTCAGCAGAGATAGAAATAAACTTAACTCAAGCCAAGGTCGCATGGTCTGATCACTAATAGGCCAGTAAAAAAGCAGGACCCTTAAAGATGCATGTGGAGTACAAAAGAGGTTGCGTGTGAAGTCGACTCTTGGAGCTTTCGCTGCAGGTGTCAGATGTGCAGGTTGGATCGATCAGAATGGGTTTGAGCTGAGTTTCGAGTTAAGCCATGCCGTTGCCGGACTGCGACGGCAAAGACAATAGCCATTGGTCTCATGCGAGGCACCCGCCCCGCAGTGGACGAGCTTCTCAATGAATTCAATCTGTATAGATGTTTCTTTTCAGAAGGCAATAAGAAGCTTTTTGCAATGACGGTCGAAAAGACTTATTGACCGGTCAATTATTAGTTCAGGGTAGCATGATGCCAAAATGTCGGAGTGCAAGCAAGAAGCGCATAAAATTGCACTTGAATCTGAAGCCAACCCTTCTTCGAAACTGATGTAATCAGGTGGAGAGACGACGAGCTCCCCATGAGCTCAGGCGGCCCTTGGGCTGGCTCGTCTGAGATCAAGTCCCTATCATCAACCCCCTGTCACGACTGCACCGGCCTGGCCAACGGGTGAACCACATGCAATTGAGCCGTAAGTATGATTAGTGATTGAGATCAGCAATCTTCGATGTATTATATGAGATCCTGATCCCTATTAATGGGCCGTTGTAGGCTACGGTGAGAGTAGCAAACGCGCCTGCGGGCCAATCATGATCATGATCATGCATGAGTTGGGGTTTCCTGGGGACCAATGAGTATTACGGTTGGATCAAGAGCTCGAAAAGGGATATCAAACACTTCGAAATGGTCAAAGTATCATGCCATGCGTAGCTCGATCCACGAAGTCGTCACTTTGACCCATTAACCGTATCAGCTTATTTAAACTGGAACCGGCCTACACTCGTGAATTACTCTGGCAAAAAACAAGACGGATTCTTCAGAATAAAACGCTACGTCGCGACTGAGCAGTCAGAAATTCGAAAAAGCGGAAACTCTGGTTTGAGATGCGGGAAAAGCGCTCGGGTTGGGCTCGGGACCATGTCGACGGACTCCACTGGAACTCTGTGCTTCGGTTTGCTTAGGAACTAGTTTAGGGCAGGAAGGCGCCACACATCTGCCATGATTCACTCCGGCACTGTCATCGTCTCGAACAGATGGTGTCCGGCCAGTAGATCACAAGCTGAGCCTGCAAACTCACGGATGCGCGCACGCGCGGCCGGCCGCGTCAGCGACTACCATGCGCGCGCCGGGCCACGTGTGCAAAGTTGTACAACCGTCGATGGACACCGATATACTCACGTGACCGGCGCGCAGCCGTCCGATGGGGAGAAGTTCAATGCGCGCGTGGAGAATGTATTTGCGTGTGTCCGATGACCTCTGGCAGTGACACAGGAGGTTGAACGATCCGGACTTAGTATACTAGTAGTAGTACTATTACTAGGATTATGAGCCTGCAGGTCCAGGTGGAGGTCTAGTCCTAAGCCGAGGCTTGAGCAAACTCAAACTTTGAAACTTCAAAGAGTCAGGGCGATGCACCTTCATGCGGTGGACCGCCCTGGCAGTCCCAAGCATGGGGCCCAAGGTACGTACGTATGTGGTACGTATCACATTATTCTGTAATACGCCTAGATGAGCATCTATATTGAGCTAGCCCTGATGCCCTATGATCCAAAAATAGCTGCAGGCTGCTCAGAGCTGCTACAGAAGTTTCAGTGCAAGTTGCAGAGCGAGGCGTCAGAGTTGATTCAGTGGCATTGCATGTAAGACAAGGCAGTCTTCGCTGTAGAGGGAGGTTTGGTAGGTTCGGGGGCCAGCCAGCTATACATAGTAATTGATTGAAGGGATGGCATTGCAGTTTGAAGGATTGAGCTCGCAAGCTCGTTGCAAAGAGATCGTGGGCTGTGCGGGCTAGCTTTGTGGTTTGCACCAAAGGCAGACGAAGTGAGTGAGCACCTGAAAAGAAAAGCTGATAGGTCCAATTGGAAGTCCAAGCGTGGATCCTGGACAGGGTAATCCTCTCAATTTCTAGCGCGCAAGTTTTGCTGGCGATCAATCACCATTTGGTGGTTGAGCTGTGCAAATGCAAAGGGTCATTGCTGTCGATGCATTTGTTGTCGGGTCGAGACTAGCGGCACATCCAAGAGGTGAGCTCGCTGTTCGGCAATCAAGGCCTGACAGTCTGCGGAAAACAATGATGATACGTAGGTCCATAAAGGGCAAATCCGAGGGCCGTTGTGTAACGCAAGAGCTCGCGGACACACGCCATTCCCACACCGTTATGGAAGGTCAGTGTAGAGCTAGCTAGCTGTTCGAGCATATGACCGAGTATCCCCTAAGCCTTTTGTTTGCTGTGAAATAATGTGCTGTCAAATAATGGTTAAGCACTGGCTGCCGCCGTGTCTGGTTAATGTCTGTCTACCGAATGAACTAGTGGTCCTAGAAGATCCGGGCATAAGCTCGTAAGTCCAGCAATGTAAGGATGCAAGACTTGATGTAACGGTAACCTTCCGCTGGTGCACTGTGTACCAACTGAACTTCGTTTTCTATATAATTGTCACACGTCTGTCCTGGTCAAGAGCTGCACAAATGAGAAGGCAATAAGTGCCTCTAGAAGCTCGACACATGAAGCGTCTGTATGCTCTTCTGGTAAACACTTCTGTGGCTTCTCTGTGCAAAAAGGTTGGATTTGTAGAACCGATATTTCTTTGATTGACCTTCTGAGCCTATCCCTAGCTTGATGTGACAATCACCAAGGTGGAGCTTCCATCAGAGACACGTTTTACGAACAGGTGGCATTCGGTAAAGACATGTAAGAAAAGAACTTGCCAAGGGTCTGCCACCTTCAGGAACCCTCCATTGATACCACCAGGCTTGTTACCAAGTATTCAAGATGCAGTCGTGATCGCCTGGATCGAAGCAAAGGCAGAAACAAGTCATCTGCATCACGCAAATTTCACTTCGCGATCTTGGAGCTCACTTGGATCATTGATCTCTGCAGATGAAGCTTCCAACTTTGGAGGCGAACTTGATGTGGTTACCACAGCAGGCGAGCCAGCCTCTGACCAGGGGCCAATGATGAATCGAGAGTGAGTCTTTTCGCTCTGCAACTCCCATATGAGTAGATCTTTACTGGTGGTGTGGAGAAGATTCCAGTTCTGAGACTGCAGCAGCTGATTGACCCGGGGCAGATCAGCTTGTGAAGAACGCCTTGCTGTTTGGAGAACTAATCCTGGTAATTCGTTTACAAAAGCTTGTCAGATTTGAGAGCACAGTTGCACTAACTCTGGCTTACCCGTCATCTGGTGCACAGATTAGGATGGGATGAAACCCATATCCTTCCTTCAAATCCTCTATATGTAGCAGGTGCATAACACAGGAAGTTCTGGCAGCCAACCAGGATACATAATATTTCAGTCTTGGTTTATTGGACAGATAACCGGTATTTAACCTTCTGTTTACCGGCCAAGTCTGGTGATGGGACATATAACGTCGTTCTGACCAGCCCATAACATTCGAGGTTATCGGCAGAGTTTCTAAGCAATGCTGACGGTGTTAACTTGCAGGTCCGTGTTCAGGACGTCGTGCGTGCAATAGCAGATGGGAGTAGGTGGAACCTCCCCTGTCAAGATGGCGCCACGTGTCAAAAGCAGAGCAGTCTGGACGAGGGTGGCTCTGTCGTTGGTGGTGCTTTCGTTGGGGGTAGCAGGTAAATCAAAGGCGCGAATTTGCTTCACAATCTGGGTCAAGCAGGTCCGCTTATTCTTGCTGTCATCATTCAGAGCACCGGAAGATGCCACGGAACTTTTGATTCGTACGGGCTCTTACAAACACTATCTGTACAACTTGGAAAGGATTACACACTAGCATCTTTAAAGAAAGGGCATGCTTTAAGGGGACGACACTGTCTACGGAATCTGATCTGAACAGTAAAATGTCGACGTTCAAGTGACCGGAAGCTGCACAATCGAAGCGGACCAATTCGGATCCTCCTCGGAAGGTCTTACGCCGAGTCGATGCGACAATGAGCAAATCATGCTAGCTGCCCTTCGACATAGATAAAAGATAAGAGCTCCAAGAAGAGGCTTTTCCTTGATGACTTGCTATTCTTAGTATTGAAACTGAATTTAGAATATCTTGTCGATCCAGACGCACGTCTTATATTTCCACCCGACTTCCCAAGTCCCCAAGGAACAGTGCGCCTGCCGACCGCGCTCGCGAACCCAATAGCCGTGGACTTCACCAAGCTGCCTCAGTATCCAAGGGCGGGCGTTACCTTCTTCACATCAAGAGTGGCGGCGATTTTGCAAGGTGCGAGTACTTTTCAACTATGATCCTCGTGACCTCAACGGTCTGAGTGATGTTTCTACTGTACTTCCTGAGTATTTCGGGCCTTTTGAACAAGTCTTCCTATTTCACCAGCATCAGAACGGCTTGTTTTTCTTTGTCGTCTCCCAGCCGAAATCAGCCGCCTGCGTTGTAAGCTGGTTTGCCCACCTCCCCCAAGTCGAGCAGATTTTTCCAACCCGTGATTCAGCCCCTTAATCTGGGCTCCCTTTCGCCCTACAGGCTCGGTCTCTGTCCAAGTTCCACCCCCGGGCATGAACGGTCAACCGCTCCAAAAGACCTCAGTCCAGTACACGATAACCGTTGGCTGGGACGTTCTCCAAGTCACCATCGTAGCCGCCGACCAGCCGCTCTACCTGAACCAGCAGAAGATCCCCCCAGGGCAAAAGTCGAGCCCGGTTTACCTCGTCGGCCAAGTCACGATCCTCTCGGTCCTCGCAACCACCGCCCAAGACGTCGCTTTGCGGACGTACGTCATCTACGTTTACCGTCCGGGGGCTCCCCCCGGGCTGGAACTCCCCTCCGCTCCACCAGTAGGAACCGCGCCCGCTTCGGGGGGGTCTACCAGCCCCCCGGCGGTGATCATTCCTGGAGCCCCTTCCCCCCCAAAAACCCCCACAGGAACACGAAAACCGCGGCCCCCCCGGACGTCCGCCCCCGTGTTTCCGCCCGGGGGATCCCCCTCTCCACCCTCGCAAGGGGCACAAACGCCCCCCTCGGCGAATAGCCCCCCGGGGGCGACCTCCGGTCCATCCAACCCGGTTCCAAACCCGGTCTCCACGCCTGGGGGATCCCCCTCCCCCGGAGCAAGTGCTCCGAACACTCCTTCTGGGGGTGTTCCGGGGGCAACGCAGAGTGGTCCGCCTGCTTCGGGGGGATCCCCGGGGGGCAGTGGGTCTAACGGCGGGAGCACACCAGCCCCAAGCAGCGGAGGGGGTTCGCCGCCAGGGGGCAGCACGGGTGGCCCCCCCGGTTCGGGGGGCAGCACTTCCGCCCCTGGTCCGAGCGTAAGCGGCCCCCCTGGATCTGCGTCGGGGGGCGGCACAAGCGGCCCCCCTGGAACTGGAGCGGGGGGCACGAACGCCCCCACAAGCACTGGTGGGGGGACCCCTGACTCTGGTAGTGGCACCGGGGGGAGTCCTGGGACAGGGGGACAGGGCACGGGCAGCGGAAGCCCAACGCAAACCCCCGGAAGTGGAAGCGGAACCGGAAGCAGCAACGGGGGAACTAACTCTCCAGGGGGGAGCGGTTCGAGCCCAGGGGGGGGCACGACGCCCTCTCCCTCCAGCCCGAGCAGTGGGGGAAGCCAAGCCCCCCCGGGGCTCAAGGACCCCCCGGAAACGGGAATGGCAGTGGAGGTAATGGGGGTTCTGGAAGTGGGGGGACTCCAAGCACCGGGGCGCCTGGCAGCGGTGGGGGGGGCGACGGTGGGAGTGGGGGAAGTACTGCGGCCCCGGGAGGTAACGGGGGGGCAGGCGGGACTGGAAGCCCCCCGCCCGAAGAAGGATCACCGACGCCGGCGGGAAGTCCCAACAGCCCAGGACAAGGTGAGTTTCGAGCAGCGGGATGAGTAGGGGCTGACCAGGTTCTGCTCACTGTTCACGTCTCTTGCTTGATTCGTGAGCGGAGAATTGGAAGCTCAGTGTCCGTTTGCTTGCAGTTTAGAACTGAATAGCCATGTTTAGAAACGATTCCGGTTTGAAGCAGCTTTAACGTGATTCGGGAGCCCGTCTTCAATCTCGGTTGACGGCCTGGTGTGCTCATGGTTACGCATTGAACACAAGCAATCAAGAAACAATTGCCTGGGCTGGATCGCTTTTCGAACACAGCGGATCTCCCCAACTAAAACAATCAGTCGACTCCGCTCTCTTTGAGTCCCTTCGGCCCTTAGATTTGCTTGCCGGTTTTGGAGCCAATTTGAAAAGTTCGCGTGCTCGTTATTCTGGTAGCGAAGGGTGCTAGCGCTATTATGCCAAGCGCTGCTTAATAGGACGAATCCGAGAGGCAAACCTGCTTTGGGAGCTGGTCTGAACTCAAGGTGCTCTGCTTTCGGCTTCCTTCGTCTAACGAAAAACTAAGAATCCCAAGTATTTGAACCTTTGGGGTGTCACCCCAAAGCTTTCTCCATCTTGTTGCATTTGGCGACCGTGCGGAGCGGCCAAAATTGTGCAACGTATTTGGCTTTCGTACGAACCGCATGGGAATCCAGCAACGCACTTTTCAGAAACTTCCTGCCGTTACAGGTGATCGACAAGGGTTTCGAGAATCTACGCTTCGGAATGGGGAGTTGAATGTAGACCCCTCTCGTCGCCTAGTGCGAGTCGTCCGCAAAGTGCCAGCCAAGTTCTAGTCTTTTTTTTACAATTTAGCTACTAACATGATTTCGATCATCAGAATACTTGCAAGTTTGGTATCGCGCGCACTCAGGATACACGAAACTGCTTCTCAAGCGAGTGTAGAGCTGGCGGCCTCTCTCCCTTGAGGGTTCCAGCAAGTGGATGATATGTGTCTGTTGCGAATCCATGTTGTAGAAAGTATTACGAAGATGCAGTATGAACTTTCGGGCAAGTTGGAATGTTCCACGACGTTTACGTGTATTCAAATGGTCCGCCTTGATCAACTGTCAGCGCCGGACGGTTCTATTCACGCATTGAACGCTTAAGGACACATACTGTAAGAGGTGTTTTACCGGTGACGTACACGTCCGCCAAGGCAAGGAGCTCAATCTTTATTATCAAGTATCCAACTCATGTTTTCTGTAGATGTGAGGTAGGTCTTGGCCAGCTTTCAAGCTGATCATCAACTTTCTGGCTGGAACATCAAAACCAAACATTCTTCTACCTACTACGAAAGGATTGAACAAGCATATGAGTACCTCTGATCCGTCGGTTTGCAGGCAACCCCGGCAGCACTCCTTCGCAGCCGCCGCATGGGGGGGCTTCGGGACCCACTCCCGAGCAAGGGGGGGTCAGCACCAACAGCCCCGGTGGGGGGGGCAGCACGCCAAGCCCCGGGGGAAGCAGTTCGCCCGGCGGAACAGGATCCCCGGGCAGCGGAAGCCCCCCCGCTGGGAATGGGGGGGGAAGTGGCACCCCCCCAGAAGGAAACGGGGAGGCGAGTGGAAGCCCTCCAGGAGGAAACGGAGGGGCGAATGGCAGCCCCCCGGAAGAAAACGGGGGGACGAACGGCAGCCCGCCAGGAGGCAATGGGGGGGTCAATGGCAGCCCCCAAGGAGGCAATGGGGGCGTGAATGGAAGCCCCCCGGAAGGGAACCTGGGGGGATCTGGCAGCCCACCCGGCGGAAACGGAGGAGCGATTGGCAGCCCCCCGGGAGGGATCGGAGGCGCGATTGGCAGCCCCCCGGGCGGGCACTGGACCCCCCCGAGCGAAACAGGGGGGAGTGGCAGCCCACCATCGAGTGGAAACGGCGGCGGAAGCCCGCCAGACGGGTCCGGAGGAACAGGAAGCCCGGGAAGCGGAAGCGGAAGCAACAGCCCACCGGAAAGCCCCCCGACCGACGCACCCGGCGCAGGTGGGTCTCCGACGGAGTGGCCAGCGCCCCCTGCTGATGGGCCCGCCGGCGGTCCTTCCGTTGGCAGCCCTCCGGATTCCGCTGGCCAGCCGACCGCGTCTCCTGGGAGCGGAACCGGGGCACCAGGCGAAGCCGCAGGCGCTGAAGGCCCGGCCGAAGCCCCGTCAGAAAGTCCGTCAGAAAGTCCGTCAGGTGCCCCGGGGGGGCCGATCTGCGTCGGCGCTTGCAACCCGGGCGGTGGGGCGGAGATCATCGTGACCGGTCAGGCGTTCGACAGTTACCTGCAGTCGTGCACCACGTTTGTGGACGTCAACGGAAACGGAATCCAAGATGCCGACGAGCCGAGCGGAATGACGGACCTCTTCGGGCAGTTCAACTTGTCGACCCCGGTGTACGCCCCCCTGGTTTTGCTAGCGGGGGGGGAGTGCACTGACGCCGCGACCGGGGTGCTTCTACCGGGCATTCTTTCCGCCCCTCCGGGAGCAACCGTGATAACCCCATTAACCACGTTGATAACCCAACTAGGCACGCGACAGAACATCGAAGCGGTAGCGGCGGAGCGCATCTTGGCAGAGGGTCTCGGGCTCAACGTGAGCGCGGCGCTCACGCTGACGTCGACTGACGTCATCGCGGCCGTGCTCGCGACCCAGGACGGCGCCGCGGCGCGCGTGGTGGTGCAGAACACGCGCGCGCAGAACGTCGCCGCGATGGCGGCCGCGCTGATGTCGGCCGGAGGCGACCGCGCGGCGGGCGCGGCCGCGACGTTCGGCTCGTTGGCGGACGCCATCTGGACGCTGCCGACTCCGGACAGCGGAACGGCTCAAGGGAGCGGCACGAGCGAAGGCGACGAAACGGATGCACAGCTTGCAACAGAAGCCAACAACGATACGACCGGGGGATCGAGCCCGGGAGCCGGCCAGGCCAGCCTGCAGCTTCGGCGGTTGCTGGGGATGCTCTCTGAGGGTTCCCCCGGGGGTTCGATTGGCAACTTGGACTCTCGGAGAAGCATGACCGGGGTTGACGTCACTGTGGAGGACGGGTGTAAAGAGGGCGGTCTCGAAAGGCGGCCTCACTGCTCGCGTCGAGTCGAAGCGGGAACAAGCGGAATGAACGCAGAGCTTGAAGAGATGACTGCGTCGCGGCAAGGGTCGGGCCTGGAAGGAGATTCGAGCAACGGAAGACAGAATCTTAAAGGTCGGAAAGGAAGAAAGTTACGGCGCTTGTTGCAGGACGAAGCGGATGCGTCTGATAAGACAGCGGATTCGCCTGCCGATCTGACCGACCCAGTCTTTCTAGAGTCCGCTTTAGAAGGGGCGTACAAACTGTTGTCAAATACTTCGGTCCGGGGTTTGCAACCGATGACGTCAACCAACGACAGCACTTTTGGCGCGCCGGCACTATCGGCCGACGACTTTGCGCTGGCGGCTTCGGCGATGGGGGTCGCAAACGCCGCCATGGACGCCCCCCTGGAAGCGTTTCTGCAGCTCAACCTGGCCGGTAATACCAACCGGTCCGCAGCGATCGAGTTTCTGAACGAGATCTGGCGCCGCGCGAAGGTCGCGCAGTCGAACTTCGCGGACGTGCTCGTGCAACTAGGCGCGGGAGAGATCAACCGCACCGCGGCCGCGGCCGCGCTCTCGCCGGCCGCGTTCGAAAGCCTCGTGGCCAATACCACGCTCTTGGTATCTTCCGGGGGGGGCCAAGCGTCGCTTCAGGCGCAGACTGGGGCGCCCCCCCCTCCGGGAGTGATCGAGTTGCCGGGGAGTGTGGTCGGGGGAAAGCACCGGGCGAAGTCGTGGGTGTGGATCGTGATCGGGGTGGCGGTCGGAGTGGGCGGATTGCTGCTCTGCTGCTGCTGCGGGGGGGTGGCGTACTACTGCTACAGAAGGAAGAAGAGTGAGCGATCAAACCCCCGGAACGGAAACTTTTGTCGGTTGTTACAGACTATTTCGTTCGCAAGCGAATTCGGTCGAAATAGAGCGAAACGCTCCCTTAGAGATATAACAGTTCCTCCTTAATTCTGATAGACCGTTCGGTCTTCATTCGACCCACAGAAGGTTTGAAATCTGTCAAGAAGATGGGACCCTATCCATGATCCTCAAAAGCCGATGTGTCTTGTAGGTCAAATCGTTCCTCCTTCCTCTAGATGCGGCAGTCAAATTGAACTCGCATGGATCACCCCAATCCGTTCGTGCATCAGGACATGTATTTACTAACTTTCTTCGTGTCAAGCCTCATAAACAGCGTGGAACTACGTTATTTTCTACTGTTGCTCAACACAAGAGGCCTGCGAAACTGGTGGACTTTGTCCTCGTGACTTGAACGCTCTCCTTCCACGTATTCAAAGCGTCGAACCTTACCGAAGAGCATCGAAGGATACTTGTCCTGACTCACTTTCTGCTTTCGCGCGCAAAGGGACGAATCCCAGTCTGTTAGGACGAGTTTTTCGACCCACTCTTTCTCTCTCTTCTTCAGACCGCCGAACGGGCCACCGGGGTGCCGACCCCGAGCAAGGCCCGCCCATCAGCCCCCGTCGCTGGCCGTGGAGTCCCCGCCCGGTGGCTTCCTCCGACCACTCAACACCGCCCACAGAGGAATCCCCCGACGTGGCCTCCCCGGTAGAAAGTCCCCCGGTTTCGCCCGGGGCAATTCTCCGGAGCCATAGCATAGCCCTTCCCCCGAGCACGCACTTATTACCGGTGGCCGCCCAAGCGGAAACCGCGCGAGAGGCGCCGCCGGGGGTGGACGAAACGCCGCAGGAGACGGCGTTTTCGACCCCCCGGTCCGGGATCTCGTCCGATTCGGACTGAGAAAAGGGACCCGGTTTATCGATAGGACTGCGGCACGCTTACAGCTTGTAAAGGTTTAGGACGGCGTAGGGAAAGCAGAAGCTTTCGCGAACTAACTTGAATGAAGCGGATTATGGTAGAGAACAGTCTCATAAACAGTATCATGGCTGAGAGCTTGAGCTAGGGAGGCGTGCAATAAGGGCTCATTGGCCCCTTGAGAAGTCGGGATAAAATGCACCGTGCTTAACATAAGCGCAGACGGTCAGCCGAAGCTGACTTTGAGAGCGCAGGGTGCTATACTACGAACGTTCTGTCAAAGCGAAGGCACGCATTTGAGTTTCTGAGTAGTTGCGAAAGGTAGCTAGAAAGGCTTGGTACGATGCATAGCGGGTGATGCCTCTTTCAGATCTCGTGGTTTGCAGCTAGAGCGAGTATCGTTGCGGCACGTGTGGTTGAATCTTTGAGACACCTCCGCCTACGGATAGACGGGTACCATTCCGATTCCCGGCCTTGGTCTCTAACTTGTACGGACATGCTTATACCTGAGGACGTCAGTGTTATCGCCCGGGCGGTCACGAACCTTCCAGTATTGTCTCGAAGTACTGCAATCGTTCGAGCGCGTCGGAAGGCTTGTCACAATGCCGTCACACCGGAGTATTGAGCTTGGTCGTTCAGAATGAAAAGCTTTTGATACCGCGCTGTAGTCTCAGTCCTTCAACGCGGACGGTTGACATAAACTTTCTTCAATCCAGGGAGCCGGCATCGAAGCGAAAGATATCACAAAGGCAAAACCTATCACAACATCGCTCACTGTACCTGTTCTCTGAGCTAGTCGCTCTCGTGTGGCTCCTGAGTCGTGTTCCTGAGACAATGAAGCGCCCTACAGATTGGTAGATTTTTTCGCAAGTAAGCGTGGGTTCCAGGGTGCGGAGCGTTCCACTATAATTGTAACGGTTACAATGTAAATAGACCTGTTTGCGGAAAATGTAGCCGACACAGGCCCCACAGGCACACGAAAACCGTCTGTTCGTTGATCTCTCCCCGAAACCTCATCCTATATCTACTAGTAGCTCGAAGCCACTAGTAGAACCGCCCAAGCGTACCAGCTGACACGTGCTTCTTGAAGTGGTTGGACCAGCTTGAGTGCAGCCAGAGAATTGTTGAGCCCCTCTACGACCTGAAAACTTCATTGCCGATCGCGTTTTCATATTCGTTCCTGCTTCCACTCGTCCTCGGATGAACTTCGGGAAATAGAGCCATGAGGACGGCTTGCGCTCTTTTCACGCCGTCATATTTCAACGCAGGACTGCTTCGCGGATGCCTCGGCACAATTGACTCGAAAAGAACTGCGAACTTCCCAGGACAAACTCGGGAAAGCTTTGACGCTTCCCGAATTATTCAACTGTGCATGACTGTACTTATGCTCTGCGGTGCGCGCCCGCCAACGAATTATTCGTTTGCAATATTGAGTGTGTGGGTCGAGGACGCACGATTATCACTCTTAAAAAATAAAATGGAGGTCATTTCACGCACTGCACGGCGTATCAGTGAAGAGCCGAACATGGCGAGTCGACCTGACCTTGTCGCAGTGTGTGCCAAGATGGAAATACTAACGGCTTGAGAGCAAGATGGGCCCGTCAGCACAACGACGGTTTGCTACGAGGTACCTTGCAGACAACTTCATCTGCTCGAGTTCAATAGTGCGGCACTTGTCGAAGGAGGGCAATCTGCGTCCTGGCTGACGAGTTCAGATCAGCAGTACTATCAACTATCATGCTGGCGCGCCATTCCGGCCCAAGTAATCTGAAAGATGAGTGAATCACAGTTTGACGTTCCTCCCTAGCCGAACCCTTTGCCCTAATTTTCCATATCAGCTACTTTCTAAGTTCCTTTCCATCGCCTCTACCGGCTGCCATGCAAGATCCAAAACGCCCTGCAGACCTGACTTGGGGGCAAGACGTCTTTGCGCGCGAGCGCGAACGCGAGCGCCCAAGTATTGACCGGAGACTGGTTTATCTCGAAACTGGAGGTTTACGGCGCTAGAACAATCAGCCAGCCTTAGTTCCGGTTTGTTAATATTTGAAAGTATTACCTGGGTTAGAGCTAACGGGAACTCTAGGGTTGTTGCCTTGCAGAGCATGGTGGCTTCTTGCATTTCAGCACAAGCAGTAGCGGCGCCTTCCTTCCTCGTCAGAATGGTGTCAGGCGTTGGAGGGGCTGACTGGTTCGAGGTCGCCAGCAGGCTTGCCCAGGCGGAGACCAATATCGGTCTCGGGAGAATTGTAGACTCCCCCAGGTCTGCAAATACTCCTCGAGCTGGGCAGGAAAGGGGTGAAGAGAAGGGGAACAACAAGCAAGTGACATTTCAACCGACATTTACAAGTGACAAGAAAGAGAGAATTGCAACCCCTGAGAATACCAAAAGTCGGGGGGCAGTGTTTGGCCCTCCGTCACCACCCCTCAAGCGGCATGCAGCTCCGCTTTTCAAAGTTGGTAAGCTAGCGGATGCACAGAGCAACCGGAAGCATAAGCAGGAGCAGTTTCCGGTGGAGTTGGAAGATGTCACCAGTGACAAGCAGAGCTTTGACTCGAAAGAAGGCCAGGACAAAGAAAGGCCAGCAGAAGCAGATGGTGCATTGGGTGGAGAAGAGGATTGGGAGTTGATAGATGGAGAAAAGGGCACTGGGGCCTTTCAAGAAGGTAGGCTTTGAAGCGAATTGCAAGCTTTGTTCGAAGTACTGAGCATGCAAAGCAGAGCAATGCACTGCAATTATGCGGTGCCCCAGTCCAAAGCTGCACCCGTGGCGTCCTCACATCGAAGTCTGGCATACCTTTTAGTTCAGAGCATTCATTGCATTCCCCTTCCTTTCATTGTTATCAACATTTCATGCATGCTGAGATCCATTCTTTGTCGTTCTTCTAGTAAGCCGCTGATCAGGTGTCCTCTGTAATCTCTTATGACCTACTAATCATGGACGTCAGGTGTTCTCTGTACAATATTCTCATCTGCCAGACACTTCTAAACACAGCTGCCTAGAAAGTCAACCGGCTGTTGAACTTGTCTCCACAATCGTTTTTCTGCAGACGAGGAACGTCCTGCTGAGAAGCAAATTACCCCCAAGAGCGTTCGGACTGCCAAAGGGCTTCTTGAACTTCCTGATCTAGTCGGCACCTCCCCTCCCGACCAAGAGGCTAGCCTTCTGCGAGACTGGAGCCTGCCTTCCCCCAGCAGACGAACCGTTCAGCCGCCGCTAGATGCTGGAAAGTCGCCTAGAACTGCATCGGCATCCACAAAAACCCAGGCACCAGTAGATCGGCAAACAAACACCAGGGAAGACCACCCCCAAAAAGAAGAAGATGGCCACTCCATCTGGCAGTTTAACGAATTCGGCAGACATGACCACGCGCAGGAGTTGGAGCGGCGGGGGTCTCTGCAGATGGAGGAGCTGGTTGGTCCTTTGAGGGGGGGCACACCAGAAGGCGGCCCCACCCCCTCTCCTCGAGAAAGTCAGCTGGTCCCAGTATCCCCTTTCGGTGCCCTGGCAAATGTCCCTGGGTGGAACCTGGCGCAGGCAGGCCTTTTAAGCACGTCCCTAGGGCAGAGGGTAGCTAGTTTTGTGGGGGAAGTAGTAGCCGCATCGGCAGAACACGAGCAGCGCTTTGTTGGGCGGCTGCGGAGCAACTCGTTCAAGAAGAACGGGGTCCCCTCTGAGCTGAAAGCGATGGATACCGCCAGTGGGAGCGGACCCGATTCTAGAGCAGACTCCGGGGCGGAGCTGGCTTCATCCGGGGGGGAGGGGAGGGCCCTTCCTGAGGCGGCACTTGCTAGTGTTGAGACGGGAGCGGCAGAGGCAGTGCTGGAACGAGGGCCGGCCGCTGAGATGTCAAATGCAGATTGGATGAGCAGGATTCAGAGCGCGACCACGCAGCAGCTGGGGGAGTGGCTGGCGCGAGTCAAGATGACTTACAGGGGCTCAAAGGAGGTGAGGGGTAGTTTGAGGTTGTCCGAAACATTTTGATCATGTGTACACTTCTTGGAAAATGGTTGTCCAAGGAGACTCTAGGAACCTGTCATGGCCGTGGCTACTCTGTTGCTCTTGTCTTGTTGTAGATCTGGCGGCGGGGTTACTTCTTAGTCAGACGTTTCTGCTGTGACACTCGCCCTGCTGCGACCGGAATAGTGCACCGCGTGTCTGATGTTACAAACCGAGAAAGAGCTGTTGATTGCTGCCAATCTCGAGGTCGTCTTGAAGTCCAATCAACCAAAAGCCTGTCACATGTGGTTACTTGGTGCAAAATCTTGTCTACTCGGAGGCAGTTCCTCAACTTGACAGCCTGTTCAATACATCGCGTCGCTGGGCCTTCTCTTTAAAGAAACCCTCAGCGGAGCTGCGCACTCTCGTTACACATTATGCATCACCGAAACCCGCTCACATTAATGTTTGGTTTTTGGGCCTGGAACTAGGTGGTAATTGTCGATCACCTTGGTAGAGTATTCCTCTCACGTGATTTCAGCCAGCTTCGATCAACGGTTTTTTACTCTCTCAGGACATTGGCTGGCTAAAACGGGAACCCGGCATGCCTCCCATCACGGACGGCAGCGAGCGCTTCCTCCAGCTGCTGGGGCAAATCGTGCATGGGATCCATTCCCTGTCGGACGAGTATGTATATCTATTGACACCAGGTAAAGAAGATTGCTCGAGGCAATGGGACTCAGCTCATGACACAATCCACATTCAGACGATATTGATGAAGGCAGGCGACCATTGTCTCGTTGATCGGCTCGTTAGTTCATGTCTTTTGTACTTTCTCCTCTGAGACTGGATAAGTACTCACTGATCTTTTTGTGAGTTGACAAGACGGGAGTTGGATTGTCATCAGTCATGGTCGGACGCTGATCTCCAATCGACTCAAGAGGAAACATAAGACCTCTTCGAGGCCCGTTCTTGGATCCGACTCCTCTTCAGTAGAGCACCAGCTGCTTATGTACCCCCATCTCTTCTAAACCCGCAGGTCTGTTCAGCAACTTTGGCCCGCTGTACCTGTATGATACCAAGAAGTACCTTGCAAAACTAGGACTGAGCACGCACATAGCTAAGATTCACAGCGAGGTGAGCTTTGGTCCTTAGGCTATTTGAAACAAATGCGACGGACGCTCATCGACGACACTTCCGGATCTGTGTCAAGCCGTCTACCATGTTCAATTGCTCCATTATTGGTCTCTCGAAGAAACGGAACCTTTCGAAGCACCTGTTACTTGCGTTGATGGCGAGTAGACTCTCCGGCTCATGACGACAATGATCGAGCGACCAAGGATGACCAACTGCTTGCACAGCGTGTTGCTCGCGTTGAACACTGCTTGATTGTTATTGTGCCCGATTCTTTTTAACCTGCATCTGCTTGAAGGAGTGTCACAAATTTTCCAGGTTTTGAGTTGAGCTTTTTTATGCGTTCTTTCCAGGCCGCAGTAGAGAAGAACGCCTTAGAGATCTGCCAGTACGTCGAGGAACTGAACTGGGGAACGGGCAAGCAGGTCAGCGCCTCTTCTTCGACTTCGAATCCTTTAAGCTTGGCAAGTGGCAACGGTTTTAAAAGCCTAACGAATACGTCAACACTGTTCTTAAGGAAAACGTCAAAAGTTCGCACCGCAAGCTAGTTATGTCCCGTTTTGCATCTCGCCCTTGGATTACTTTTTCTTACCAGTGAGCGAACGTTGCAACGTCTGCTCCATTGTGACAGAAGGTTTCAGAAGCTCGGGACTTAAAGCAAGCCCATGATATCTGAACGGGCGCTCAATCCTTCATCTTCTCACCGCTACTGTTTGGAAGAAGAGCACTTCATCATGTGATGCTGAAGGAACGTGCAAAAATCGATCTGTAGCTAGATCCGCTGCTAGTGACACTGATCGATGTCGACGGGACAGCGCGTTGAAGGCAAAATTAATCCATTTCAGACCGCTCGTTTGGGCTTGATGCTTGTCCTTGAGCTGCTTTATAAGGTGTGCAAAGGTCGCTTAGCCTGGATCTTTCCGTTACGTCCCTGGGCCGTTCCTTGCCGTCGGGCCCTTATTTACGCTCCCGGGTTTTCCTCACACGCCTCCCGTCTTCAACAGGTGGTGATACTGGGCCACAGCAAGGGGGGCATCGACGCCTGCGCGGCGCTCGCGCTTTTCCCTGAGCGGCTGGCCGGCAAAGTGCGCGGGATTGCGCTGGTGCAGAGCCCATATGCGGGAAACCCGGTTTGCTCAGACATCCTGCGGGAGGGACAGGTGGCGGACTTTGGTTCGCGGGCGGTGCTACAAACGCTGATGCATCATGCACTCAAGGTGAGGCTCGACTCCACCAAGCCTTGTCAGACAGATTGTTAGCAGGAATGATGACTAATTCGAACAGTGCCGCTTCGATGAGAACACAACTTAAAATGACGGGAGCCAAATGTATAAAGGAAGGAACGTTAGTTCGAGGACAGAAGCTTCTCAGGAAGCCAAGTGGAGACGAGAGCGGAAGCGGTTCATTTCGCACGACGCACCCTGAGGGAATGACGCCTTGCCCTCCTCAATTCTCTTTAGGGACCTCAATCCATGCTACCCCAAGCAAAGTTCATCCGGCACAGAAGCGCCCCTGCCTCGACTGCTCAACTCCCGGGGGCCTCTCTGTAGCCCCATTTCCACATAACGTCTCCCCATCTTCCCGCAGGGAGAGCTCCGTGCCCTGGAAGACCTGACGTACGAGCACCGCCGCGCGTTCATCCTCTCCCACCCGCTCCCTCCGGGGATCCCCCTCGTGTCCTTCCACACCGAGGCCAGCCGCGCCCCGACCGCCCTCTCAACCATTACCACCGTCGGCCACGCAGAGCTGCCGTTGGCCGCACTAGTTGCTGGGGCCACCAGCTCGGCAGCGGCGCAGAGCGCGGGCGTTGGGAAGCTGCCGATTGCGATGCCGATTGGTGCCACGTTGGCGACGATTGCGGGGCACTTGGAGCTCAGGTGAGGGGGGCCCGAAAAGAGACTGGTGGTTTGGAACAGTTCGGCCGTTCTGGAGAAGTCTTTGGCATGAGAAGCGCAGTAAGTTTGCGGAGGGGCCCTCGAATGGGACGGACATGTCGTGCCTCAGTCACAACATGTCCGAGTCACGAATTGTTGATCTACTTGCGCCGTCTCAACTCCAGTTTCAGTTGTTCATCGTCGCCTGAAGCGGCGGCCGAACTCCTTGCAAACTGTTATTCTTCCTTTCTTTTGGATCTGACGGACGAATTGAGCGGCACACGAACAACCAGCACACGAAAGAGCCTACGAGCAGTTATCATTTCCCGTGCAGGTATGGGGAGAAGTCAGACGGTTTAGTGACCAGGCCCGATGCGGAAGTGCCCGGCTCGGTGGTTGTCCGACCCGAGAAGAAGCTGGATCACGCGTGGCCGGTGTTTGGAGGGGGCAAGTCGACCCCGGGGGAACCCGAGCCTGCACACGTGAGCCGCTCCTGTGAAGTTCAGGCGCCTCGAGCTGGATGCAGGGTTAAGACATGTGATGTTCACAGTATGCTAAAGCGGTGGGAACATGAAACGAGGGCCGGCGTGTTATCAGATAGTATTCTAACGGCAGGGTCCTTAAAGTTGCTGGAGATGCTCCCGTCTAAAATTTCTCAGCGTCAAGGTTTTTGTGTAGTTCAACTTGATGGTGAAGTCAGCCGTTGTTTGTCCTGTCAACCCGACGTCCACATGGTAGATACGAGAACGAAAGGCGCCCACTGGCAATACTTCTTGTACACCCGTCAGATGCGTGCTGGCTGCATCCCTAATGATTTACTCGACACCAACCTTTGTCGTCGATGTGCAGGTGAATGAGGCGCTCCTGACGCTGCTTCTTGAGAGCCAGTTCCCACCCGGTCAAGCTCCAGTTGTGCGCCAAGTCAGGAGCGGGGATCCCCCGAAGCGGTGGCGCTGATATAATTAGTTGGAGACGTTAATGTTTTGCGCGGCAGGAAATCTGCAAGACAATCTTAAGGTGATTTTGTAAACTGTGTACTTCGGTGTCAATTATGGCGCTCTCTTTGCTGATGGGGCCAACCACGTTGGTTTTTTGAGTATGTACGGTCTGGAAACTACCAAATGCGCGCAGGAGTGTGGATCATATACAAGGTGAATATACTGTTGGTCATAGCAAGGCCTCCCTGGTGGAACAGATCAATCGGAGGACCAGCGAAAAGCTGCATATAGTAGCTCGCTTCAACCTAAAGAAACGACGCAGGTATGATCAACGCTGGGTCTTTGACTATCAAACTTCCGTTTTTGGAAGTTGCTCCCTATTATGATTCTTTGTCATCCTAGTGTCGAATTTCGGGTCGACTCATGCAATCCAAGCTGAATTAAGAACAGTCCTTTGATTCCGTTCATAATCTGCATTGGAGCACACTGTTTAGTTTGGGACTGAAATCAAGTAGATGCCAGGATCTATGACTCGAAAACATGCAGCATCCCCTCAGATGGTCTGCTTCAGTCGACACCATGTCTTCAGGAACTAGTATTCGTGTCGAGCACATCATTGATCGATCGAGATTTGATTCGCTCGCGAAGCTCCTGATGTAATCTTACGGCCCGTATGCGTTGCATCGGCTCATATGATCTGGCATCTTAAGAAGCTCTGGCACCGCGCAAGAATAAGTGTAGCTCGATTAAACCGGCAATTGTAATCAGGATATATTTAACCGCGTTTGTAAGATGATTCTATGGACGAACCTTCAATGGTCGCATGCATATGCACACTCCGCGGCCGGCACTATGACATATGGTTCTGCGCATATATATGCTCGCACGGGCTTGGGCGCGTCCGATTTGCACCATGATCGACGCGCCCATGCAAACCGCGTCGTCCTCTTATATATCACCATTCTGCCTTTGCTTTTGACCAAGTCATGATCGAGCGCGGCTAGCAGGGGCGGTTTCACGAGTAAACTAAGCAGCTCCGGCCAGCTTGCGCGGCGCGCATATGTGCAGTACGGTACGTATCTCGTGGGCTGCAAGAGTGGACGGCGTTTGCATGCAATATCCTCGATCGTGTCCTGCATCTTGGCGATCATAGGATCACAACATTCAATCGCCACGCAATTGCAGAAGCACTGCATGTAGCTAACGCGGAGCCTATTTTTCATACGCAATCGAGCGGTGATTTAACAGCCTGTAGCTAGAGTTAAGGGGAAAGGCGGCTCATGCAGTTCAAGTCGTCGTATAAGATGGTCGCCTGCATCACTTGAATCGTCAAAATGAACTTCAGTTGCTAATTTGCATCTTGAAGTCGTAGCCGCGAGTATATACAAACTCAATGTCGGTATGCTACAACGTCGAATGGTGAACTGTGGACTTGTACTTGATGATCCGCCTGAGCATCTTCGACTGGGAATACCATGTTGGCGCTGCGCTCAGCCACGCCTGTTGATCTTTCTGACCCGGTCGAATCCCTTCTTTCGAAATCCCCATCTTTGCGCTGCAAATGTGCAGCCCCACTTCGCTGCGTCTCTCCGTTTCTCACGCCTATTGGCCACCACTCAATCCCACCTGTTGCATGTCTTCCATTCACACGGACCCTCCCTTTCGTTCGACTGTGCCCGCCCTCACTTCCGGTGCCTTTCTCCTCCGTCCCCACTACACCCGATAAGTTGCTGAACAAATACTCATCCGCATTTCCTCCATGCGACCGGTTTACGGTACTTGGCCCTGCCCCGCCCTCTAACGAACGCCGCCTTTGCTCCGCATATTCTGCACCATCCTCTACAGAAGAGACTCCGACTTCCTGCGGCCACGTCGGATCCGCAGCATGCCACGTGTCATGCTCGCGGTCAGCCTCCTCCCGCCCAGCTCTTGCCTGCCGCTCGTACTCAAACTCCCTCGGCCGTCCGGTCGCCCGTTCTTCGGACGTAGGCGACAACCAGTCCCCGGTCCGCACGCGGTCCGAACCCCCCTCTAGTTCTGCCTGCGGCTCAGCCACAACTTGTGACCGCTCGTTCGCAGCGCTTCCGTCTGATTCTATCGACTCCCCCTCAGCATCCGTTTCCGACTGGACCAAAAGAACTAGAGTCTCGGACGGACCAGTCTCTTCTACACTTTCCAAATCCTGGTCAGCTTTCCTTTGCAGCTCGACCGTTTCTTGCACCCGCTCGTCCGAAGCAGTCTCATCCGGGACTTCCCCAGCAGTCGCTTGCAGCGCACTGGTGTCTTGCAGCCGCTCGCCAGAAACACTCTCTTCCGCGCTTCCGGCCCCCTCCTCAGTACCCAATCCGCTTCGAGATCGCTCCCCCCTCGAGTCGCCCCGTCTTGACCCGTCCTGTTCCGCTGAGTTCCATTCCGTAGACACTTCCGCATCCCCATCGTTCATTCCCACCACGGAACTTTCTTCCGCGAAATTTTGCACGCCGGCATCCACTTCCCCCATAATCCCGGCCCCCTCCCGCCCAGTCTCGTCCCGTTCGTTTTGCTCGCCGCTTTGCCCTTCAGAATCTTGCCACGTGTCCCTCTGCTCTGTAGGATGTCGCCACGTGTCCCTGGGCCCAGCTCCCCCCGAGGTCCCCTCCCGCCTTGCCGCTGCGAGCGCCGCAAGATCCAGGGGCGGCCGCCGGTGCTTTTTCGTGAGGCTTCCAATCACGTGTGCTTCGAAAGCGAACATTGGGGAGATGGGGCCCGGCCCCTTGTGGGTTTCGGCAGCCCGCAAGCGCTCCCAAAGCAGCCGGCTCTCCTGAAGTAAGGGATGTGATACCAAGGTCAGGCAAAGGACACTGGTTAGGGAGAAAAGGTCCTACAGAAACCTGAGCGACGGCTTAGACAATCTTTGCACGAACCTCTGGATCAAGGGGGTGAACATGGTGTAGACACGTGTCCGCAGGAAGAAGGTACGAAATTTTTATCGGAAGGGACCTTCTGGAATGACATTGTCCCCAATACCACTTGTTGGAACGGGGAAATAGAATCCACCAACTGACAGTCGAACCAGTCGACCACTGGTAAGCTGCCTTTCAATCTCATTGAGAAGACAAAGTCTATCAAAGCAGGAAAGAAATGAGGAGAGAGGAGCAGCAATTCCCTCCAAACCGGTCGGCCTGTGGCCCAAGCAACTTCTCAGAGGACCACATGTGACCTTCATGTCGCTACCCAGAGAGGCGATCCTCAGCTTTCCACAAGTGGCAATTACTAAGCCCAAGTAGCCATCCGCCTCAACTACGTTCCGAAAACGAAACGTACTTCGTCTGCAGAGAAAATCACTCTGGTCTCAGCAACTAGGGAGGGGGAAGATTAAGACTCTCACCTCCTGGCCTGACGCTTCAGGCCGAGGGCTGGTCACCGGTCTGTCGAGCTCATTCGGTTCGGGGGGGCACGGAATGGGGAGGAACTCAGCGGGAGCCTCGGCAACCCGATTGCCGGAGGCCTTTTCCTCAACCTGCGGAAGCAGCGACACCAATGTCTTCTCGTCAATGTCATCTCGTCCTGTCTATGTTTCCTCCGCTGTCCCATGAGTTCGTGTGTACCTCCGTTTTCAGAAGAAGACCTTAGGAGAAAAGGAGACTAAAGAGATGCTCATAGCATGAGCATGGGTCGTGTGAAGGTGCATGCGCGCATCGATAGCCAGGCCAAGAACACTCACCATATGAATAGTAGTATGCTGAGCAATTCATTTAGAATTGATTTAGCTACCACCACCAAACACATACGACCAGCAGGTTGTAGTCAGCTACTCAGCCAGATAAGGATTCTCCAAGGGCTGGCGACAACAGGAGTTGTCATACAAGAATCTTGTGTCGTTGGGTTGGTCGATGACGTCACGAGAGGCTGCTCAAAATAACTTTCAAACCAACATCGAGGCCAATCGCCACCTGGTGGCCATGTTGACCACCAGGGAGTGAAGTTCTAAAAGCTTGCAAGCGGATTGTTGTGAAGTTTCCGAAAACTGTGTACTCAACTCTGTGTAATTCCCTCAAGGTGTTTTTGAGATGGCCTTTTTTTGGCTGTAGAAAGTATTGCGTTTGACATGACACTTTTATTCATCTGCAAACATGTCCATATGGCTAGCTCCGCCTGCAGAATCCATCCAAGAAGCGGAACACGGAAGAGAAGGGGCAAAGAGGAGAGCTCCTAAGGCAGCAGAAGACTTCCCACCAAATGCAGTATCCGCAGCAAAAGCCGCTATTAGCTCAAAGATTGGAGCTCAGAGAAGGTTGGCTTCTTTTCAGATTGTAAAGCTAAATGGTAGCAATAGCAATTGGGAGACGGAACCAGAAGGGAGCTGTCAAGCAGAGGCGCTTTCACTGTTAAAAGCTAGATGAAAAGCATGCAAGCAATGCCGATCCAGAAGTCAAATGCATACTCGTTTTGTGAACAGCTTCATTATCGAGATAAGCTGAAAGCGGATCAGTACAGAAGAAATCTCTGGTAGAGTTGACCGAGACACGTATAGACTCAAACAACGAGACACAACTAGCCTCAAAAACAGATCTATTATGTACGAACCTTTTCACTTGATTTGAAGATTCTCATTCGTCATCAACTTATCCTTCAACTTCTGTTCAATGGAGTCGAACCAGCTTGCCAAACCTTCCGCAAGAACAGAGGTTAAATATGATGTTTGCAATCGAACGACAGCTAGGATATATGCTGTTTTTCTGTCAAATAAATCTAAGAATCAATTCACATTCCACCACCGTCGGCTATGAGCTTCCAAGAAGGAAGCTGAGGCATCAGAAAGGAATGCTGTATGCGTATGAGCAGCACTGGGCCTTGCACGTACCTTCTCTTTCTGGTGATGGGACTTTCTAAAGAGCCGCCCCAGAAAGCTGCCTCTGGGATGTGGCATGCCATTCCTGCCCTCCCTTTGCACGTCTTTCTCCCCTCTAGTTGCTCTCTCCCAACCGCTATGCCCCTTCTGTGTTCCCTGCGGGACCAGTTCCGCTAGGTCCGGGATTCCCCCAAAGTGCACTCCCCCGATCTGCACCGGTGTACCGGTCATCTGACTAGACTCTTTCGCTGATCAAAGCCTAACGAAGCAGATGCACTGCTTGGTTCACCAAGAAGGGGCAGTCTCCTACCTTGGCAACGCATCAGCTTTCTCTAAGGATTGCCAATGGTGTGCTTCATGCTGGTCTAAACTCTGGCAAGGGTGTCGAACCTATGCTAACGCTCCAAGCGCAGGGAGATCGACCTTCCAACAAGCCGGACACTGAGACAGAGACCAGAGGAGCAAGGGACCACTTATGCAGACCAGGAATCGCTGACCCGGATTGCTAACCGGTAATTTCAGAGGTGTGGCCACTGGATTGCCCCTGAAGCCTTCTTTGAGGCTTCAACAGTTGCAGATACCTGAAGGAACTCTAAACTCTACACTCTTCATGGATCACTTTGCTGCGCCCGCCTGTAACACCAATAACTGTCCAGGTACTGCCTCACAGAACATGCAATAAACCGTTTTGCGGTAAAAAGATCCTACGGATGCTTTCGAAACGTCGTCCACAAGTGTCTGCCGCAAACCATTCCTAACGTAGACCATAAACAGGAGAGAGACGCTCTATAAGACAAGAACACCTTGAAGCGCCCTTGCATTTAGCGGATCCCCCAAGACGACCGCAATGCGTCATGGTTCGCAAAATGCAAGATCATGGCGCTCGAGAAGAATCGTGCATAGTTCTGGCTGACGTCACGAGATAGGCGCGGCTGGTCAAGATATCCCATTTTAGGGTTTGCACTTGCCCTGGAGGTTTGGTTGCAAACCTTCGCCTGTTGACCAGAATCTGTGAGAGACCCCGGGTATCATTCCCGGCGCTGCTTTTCACACAAAACGGCAAGCGTAGAGTAAGTGGGGCTTACTACCGGTCAATCATAGTTTTGCTAAACGTGCGGTATATGGTCAAACCAGGTACTTCAAGCAAGCATGCCAGCTGGCACTGGTAAAAGAAGCGGTGCCCTCACTGTCAGGCTTCTTTCTCGAAAATTTGAAAAAAATTAGCAGCAAGAATTTGAAGAAAGAGCTCTGGTTGTCTGTGGCGCAGCTAAGTTCTTTCGCCTTCGATCCGCGCGCTCTCTAGGGGCTGGTCTGGTAGGCGCCTCCCTGCGCCTGCCGGCCCGCTTCGCATTTCTTGCCCATGGCAAAAGCATGGAGCGTCGGCGCATGGGCCGCCGACGCTGAAGAAGCAGAGGAGGCAGAGAAAGCAGTCCCTATCGGGAAGAATGCGGAGGCCTTTCCTTCGCTGGGGGAGGCCTTGGCAGCGGCCCCCAAGAAGAAGAAGGACAAGAAGCAGACAATGTCCTTGTCCGAGCTCATGACGGGTAAAGGTCCCCTCCTTTTGCATGTGTCTTGGCCGCTGTTGTCTGATGCCAATTGCACGGAAACTGATTTGCCCAAAGCCATCTGGCTGCACATGGTGTTTGTGTGGCAGTTCGGTTGTTATGGTAATGGTACACTGATCCTGTTTCGCCTCAGACCAGGAATAGAGACAACGGTGTGAACAGTCACGGTTTGGATTGGATTTGATCAACTTTTTGTTCGTGGGGTTGTAGTGGCATTCTGCCGTGCCTTTCAGGCCAGGATCATTGACACCCTTGTCTGCGCATGTTGGGTCTCCCATGCCAGCGCTTTTGCATGCTTGGTAATGGTTGTGTATGCATGTCAGTAACTGGTCGTGATGGCCTTCATCACACAGCGGCCTTTATGAACGTTTGCCTAGAAAGCATACGCATTGTCTTCTTCATTCTGTTGACGGAGAAGTCTGGCCCCAGGGCGTTGCAAAGTGTGGCAAATTAGGGTGTCCTGATCAATCCCTGTTACATGGAAAGAGCACACCAACCAACACGTTGCCACCTGTCGTTCTCCCAGGCAAGTATGTTGGCCCAGGGGGCAGGGCGCGCACCTCCGGAACTGGGGGTGAGGTCGGCTTCGACGTCATCATGAACCTGCCCAAGGGTCCCAGGGAGAGGGATCCCGAGGAGGACGCCGCCAACGGCCTCGGGGGTGCGTTCAAAGACTACGGCGGTTTCCGTGGGGGAGGTGACCGGGACCGCCGAGACGATGACCGGAGGGGAGGGCGCCGTGGGTTTGACGATGACGGCGAGGGGGATGCGGGGATGCCCTCAAGAGCTGATACTGAGGACGACTGGGGCAAGTCCCGCAAGTTTGTGCCGAGCACAGGGGGCCCGGTGAGCAGGGGGGGCGACCGTGATGATTACCGCGAGCAGCGCGGCCCGTCTGCTGCCGATGAAGAAGGCACCTGGTCCAAGAAGTTTGTGCCCAGCGGGGACCGCCCCCGAGAGGCCGGTTTTGGCGGTCGGGGGGGGGCTTCAGCGACCGCTACGAGGACGACCGGCGAGGGGGGGGGTTCAGCGATGGCCCGTCCAAGGCAGATGAGGTTGACAATTGGGGCAGGGAGAAGAAGTTTGTGCCGAGCACTGGCGGTAGGTCGGGAGGGTTTGGCGGCGGCGGGGGGGGCTTCAGCGACAGCGGAGACCGGTGGGGGCGCAGGGAGGAGGCGCCACCTGTCAGCAGCGCGAGCCGGCCTAGCGAGCGCCCCCGCCTGGCATTGCAGAAGAGGTCCGCGCCGGCGGACGCTCCGGTGGCAGGAGCAGTGGAGAACGGGGAAGCGAAGGCGGCGCCGCCTAAGCCGAAGTCCAATCCGTTTGGTGCTGCGCGGCCGCGTGAGGAGATTCTGCAGGTATGTTTGCTTGGAACTTGCCTGCATGACCTTTTGGATGTAAGTTGGCCTGGCTTTATGAGTTGGCTAGGGGCAATGGAGGATGGCGCTCCTTGTTGGTCAAGAATCTGAAGAACTTCCGGTGGCAAGTTAATGGACGGTTGCGCATTGGAACTGTGTTCAGCAATGACAGTGGTAGGGATTTTGTTGGCCAAGTTGGAATTATTTTCTGGCTGCTTCTAAGAGGATCTGGATGGTAGCATCGAGTTCTGCTGGAAACAATGTAGAGCAGTTGCTACTAGACCTCTGAAGCAGCGTGTTGCTAGCCAGTACCATTGGTCTTGGTGCTCAATTGCAAACCCTAATGCATCAGGGTTGCTGGGTTGTTTGTCAATATTCCAAGCTACACCAGTAGGCTTGTCAGTTGTCGCACTGCTTGGGACATTCTGCAACAACGGTCAGTTTTGGCCAAGTTTGATGGATGTTGAAACAGCTGTAAAGAGTGCTACTGTCCTTCTTTTTTGGTCAACCTATACTTCGTCTCTGTAATAGCAAGGGAGAGGGAAGGTTCATAAGGGCTGGACTGGACTACCAGTAAGTGGGCACCAGAGAGCAAAGGCAGACTGCAATGATAAGCGCACTTTAGAAATCGCATTGTGATGTTCTCCTGTCTTGTTTGGCTGAGATTCTGCCCTCTTGATGCACTATCCAATCTTAAGCAGACTGTCTTGCGAGATTTTCTGATCATCTGCCTTCCAATGTTGGAAGAAGTGCTTATCCTCTCTGCAAAGGGGCTATTGTTACAAGTTGCAACTGCGCCATTGTTACAAGTTGCAATTGCGCCATTGTTTCTCCGCGTGTTTCTTTGCGAGCCAGGATTTCCAATGTGAGGCGTCAGGAATTGAACGCGTCAGCTGTCATTCTAGTGCAGGCTGATCGAAGACCCTCAAAGACAGCACAGTTATGCCGCTGAATCAAACAGGAACCCAAAGAATCTGGGGCTTTAGCGCCCTCACAGAAATATAGTTCAGCGCCTTTGCATCCAACAAAAGGTAGCACCCTGATAAGATTTTTGCGCTGTCCCTCAAATGCTACAGGGACCGTCTTTTGCAGCCGCCTTTGCCTTGGGCTGTCAGCCCAGTTCAATGTGGTCTTATCTAGAGTCGAAGGAGCCAAAGCACTAGTATGACCCCAACATTAACAAACATACTCTCCTTTGAGCTGGAAGGTTCAAATCTGCTCTTCCTTCCCCCCAGGAGAAGGGCCAGGACTGGAAGAAGATTGATGACGAGCTTGAGAAGAAGAAGTCTGCGGGCCCCACCCCTCCCGGCAGCACGAGCGGGGGGTCCAGCCGCGGGTCTTCGCCACCCCCCGTTGCAAAGCCGAAGCCGAAGCCAAACCCGTTCGGGGCGGCGCGCCCAAGGGAGGAGGTGCTCCAGGAGAAGGGAGTCGACTTCAGGAAGGTGGACCTGGAGTTGGAGCACAAGCGGGTGCAGCGGTGAGCACTTTGTGGTGCGCGGTTGCGGGTTCCAAGACGATTGGCACTTGTGGGGTTTTGGGGTTGCCAGCGGAAGAAGAGATTTTGGATGTTAGTTAACTGAAGATCTACAAGATACGGACTGGAATGGGTGCAGTGGTGACGAGCTTGAAGTGGGTTTGAGGTTTCGGCGGTTATGAATCTCTGTATTTTGAATTACCTGGTTGTTGAGAGTTTGGGAGTAGAGTCGGCCCAATATGCAGGCCTGCTCTAGATGTACAATTCTTGGGAGGTTGAGAGGTTTGGGCCTTTTGGCAAAACGATTGCTCTCGGAGGGTTCCCTCCATGTCAGCAACTTGCCCATGTCGGATGCACTCTGGGTAGTTTCCCGTTCTTGAAAAAGTGCAATCGAGTTGGGGGGTTGGTCGCTGGCTTTATGAGGGGACCTGAGCACTGCGTAGGAAGTGAAGATTGGGTCTGGGGTTATCTGGAGTTGGGTTAGGGTACAGGTTTGGAAGTTGGTGTGGGCGAGCTGGTTGTTTGGGAGGGTTTACTGGCAGCTTTACTGGTATCTTGAGAGATTTAAGGTGCCCCTTGTTCCTTTATCGAGGAACATGGAATGAGGGCGCGGACTGAGGGCGATGTCACGGGATTGGAGGCGTCTTCATTGCATGCGAGTTTCCAAATGGTATCCAATGCTTCTGCCAGTCCTCTCTTGACTCTGGAAACCCGTCTTTGCAGGGACGAAACCCCCGAAGAGGTGGCCCTCAAGAAGGAGATTGAGGAGCTGCGGTTGAAGCTGCAGGGGGGGTCAGAGGCGCCCCCGGCTGAGGCTGCTGAAGGGGGGGAGGAGAAGGAGAACGGCGTGCACGAAGATAAGGACGAGAGCGTTCAGACGGAGATTGCAAAGAAGGAGAAGGAGCTGGACGACTTTGTTCGGAAGCTCGACGATAAGGTGAGGATTCAGAGGGTTCTTTTGTTGGGGAAGGAGCCGAAATTCAAGGCAGACAGAGGCAGGTTTCTTGCGACAAGGAACCGGTTATTAAAGTGGGCGTCGGGGTTTGCCTGACGTCAGCCGCTATCTCCGACGGCGTCACAGATCCAACGGTTCGGTTCCGGACGGCAGTTTTGTGAGGGTCTTGGAATCGTGTGATCGGCTTTGTCCATGCATGGCCTACGCCCACTTTAAGGCTTTCGAGAGGCAGAGATTGGTTTGTGTAGCATTCGGTCGGGATTCGAGGAGGTCGAAGCTGAGGACCACGGGTGGGATCCGTAGCATTCATTCAAAGGGCAGCGTTCTGATTCGAACAATCAAATACGAACGTTTGACGAGTGTTGGCGACCAGCCCTGAGTTTCGACAATGGGAAATGCTGAACGTTCTTGCTGAATAGGTGAACTGCAGGTGAATAAACCAATTTTGAGGTTTGACCAAGAGCTTATCAAACCCCTCCAGGTGCGCTTCTCCAAGGCCACTGACAAGCCCGTCAAGGAGCGCGACTGGCGCGACGTCAAGGCGCAAGCGCCCCCGCCGGCCGCAAAGTCCGGCGCAAAGAAAGATGCGGATGCAGGCCAAGCCGTCAGCCCACCGAGCGCTGCGGCCCCGCCCTCGCCGGCTGCTGACGCCAGCAAGAACGCAGGTGACGTCAGCAAAAAGCCCGCCGCGATTGACGTCAGGAAGGAGGGGGGAAAGCGGGACAGCGGGGCGGCGTCGCCCTCGGTGGCAAAGGAGTCTCCGAAGGTGGTAAAGAAAACCGAGCCGGTTAAGAAGGCGGTTACAGCGGAGCCCACAATTGTGAAGGGGGGGTATGGGGCCCTGCAAGAGGAGGGGGGGGATGCGGAAGAGGAGGAGGTCGAGGAACAAGGGGAGAGCCAAGAGGAGCCCCCCAAAGCACCCGAGGCGAACAGTGTGAATAAGGCCGAGGGTGTGAATAAGCCTGAGGCGCAGGAAAGCGGGCGCGGGTGGGAACAGGTGGTCAAGGGGGCCGGCAAGCGCTAGGCTAGCGGGGCTTGTGGTTCCCAGTCTGACAGTTGAAGCGTCGAGACGTTTGTTGCCCGTTTGAGTATTGGAGAGGGCAGAGCTGTGGCATGAGTGTTTTTCTTTAAGAGCGAGAAGGTCATGGGCTTATGATAAGGAGGCGTTTGAGAGCCGGGATGGGCACGGGGGGGCTCACCGTCTTTAGGGTACCGACTGCAAACTCATTTTTAGTTACGCCGTTTACCAGGTTCTGCAGTCAGTTTGTGACTCATAACATCAATTTGCGTTGGAGCTAAAACGTAGGTGCGAGCTGAACAGTGAGGGCGCATGAATTCGTTTCTATTCCCCGGACTTGAGCCATGTGTAAGACAAGCTGTCGTCTGCAAGGTATCACAGCGCCACTTTGCACGTGTCGACCTCGCTGCACCACCGTCTCTGCAAAGTGTAAAGCTCATTGTGCTATTTGCTACGGGGCACCCAAGCTTGTGAGACATGCCAGCTCTGAGTCTTATGCTGATAGCCAAGCGAAGTACCAGCCTGTTGCTCACGGTCCTGTTCGATTGTCGAAGCCACTGTCATGTTTTGTTACACCCTGCAGCCTGAGCCGACCTCCGCAGATACTCAATTATGGTCGACCCACGATCTCTTGTTTGACATGGATTCAAGCAATCTCAGTGCATGTGAGGCTGCAAATATGCTTTAAGTACTATGCTGTAACACATGCCCGTGCCGCCCCACATGCAGCTTGCCTTTGACTTATACTTTGACCGGCACTATAGGCACGGTCTCACCAGATTGCTACCCAATGGCTCATGCAATTCGTGGAGCTCAGGGTTAATGGAAAAAACTGACCGCGATCGCGAATTTGAGTTCGCGTTTCAGAGTTGGCTTGCGCGCATGACAGAACGATCCCACATGTGCCATGCTCGAAAGAGCTGCAGAGACTCTTGTTTGATCTGTTAGTGGCGGTAAATAAATTTGATATCACACTTGACATGCATCGATCAATATGTAACCGAAATTATCATGTTCGATTCGCAAGTGCAATCATCCGGAGAACATACATGCAGGCAGCGGGGCATGTGCGACCGGTCCGCTCGATCTGAACATTATCATGTATATGGCAATCATTTTGACTAAGCCGCAGCACTTTACAGTGACTCGATCTAGCTGTTTCAATAGATTCTACCATACTGAAAATCAAGATTGACCGTCGGACAGGCTGAATCTTTGCGATTGATATTGCCACTGCAACAATGAAGTGCACAAACTTGAAGTTCGATAAATATGACCGGCCAAGGTACAAAGTTAAAAACCGTTATGTTTTCTTAGGCGACACGTCGATCCTCTAAAGTTTTTGGTCAACTTGAAGCCCGAGGTTTTTGATTACGCTAAAGTACAAGTGTAAGTTAACGTACAGCTAAGATTAGAATCAGTCTTATTCTTTGCTGACGCCAGCAGGCGCCGAGCAGAAAAAAGGGCCGCTGCAAGCTGGCCTGGCGACTACTCTAGTTCGATACTCTGGGTCGGTCCGTATTACTGGCGCCCAAGTTTATTCCCTAAGTTCGCAAAAAGAATCGACTATTTCAATCCACCAATCGGCGTAGGTTTTGGGTCTTTGAGCAGTATAACGTTTGACTATCAAAATCTGCTATTTCTGTTAGCGCGGTCTTAAAAAGTGGGTGGTCAGAGTTTTGTGGTTAATCAGTCTCAAGTTTCTGTTATGATGGAAGTCCAGCTTTGTCTAGCAGCTATACCCTCCGGCCGAAAAATGACATTCGAAGCCGGCTTCACTTGACTGGAAAAACGGGAGTATCTGACGAGGCATCAGTCCTACTCAATCGGAGCCTCTGCCTGGCCCACACAGCGCCGGCATTTAGCCCCTTCAATTTTAGTCACAACTCCGAAAACCCACTAAGCACCTTTGACTGCAGCGCACCTCCCTCGGTTGTTACCGCACCAACTCTCTCTTGACATCAAGTCGTGTTACACAGCCAACGAAAATATAGTGTAGTAAGCGCCAGCAGGGATCACGCGCCACTCTGGAAGCCCCCGAACGCGCCCCCTTCCGCCCACGTCAGCTCGCGGAGGCGCTCGTCCCAGTCTGACGTCACCGGGGTGGTCGGGCCTAAAAAGCCGTTGTCAACCGGGCCCGTCCCGGGGCAGCACGTGGCGCCCGGTTCGGCCCCCACGTGTTCCTGCAGAGAGAACGGCTGCCACTCGGAAGGCCTGGGAAAAGCGTGCGGGTCCCCGGAGGGCAGCGAGCCTGCTGCCGGGAGATTTTGGATGATCCCCCCAGTTGCATCCCCCACGTCATCACCAGTTTTCTCCAAAAATTCTAGTGCAGTCCGGTCGTCAACCGAGGACCTCAAAGCCCACGGTGCCTCTTCAGTTGATTGGTCGGGAAGAAAAGGGTTAGCGGGTCCCTGTGAGTGCGATTCCCCGGTGGTTTCAATAGGGGAGTGGTTGCTGGCGGCGGACTTGGTTCGGAGGGCCGGGAGGATCCCCCGGCCGCCCTCCGGCTTGCCCCGGGCCATGAGTGACGTCAGAAACTCGAGCGCCGCCCGCAGCTGCGAGTGTTGCTCGAACAATTCCCCGGAGGAGATTGTGGGCGACTCGGGGACCGACGGATCGACTAGGGAGAGTTTCTCCGCTTGCTGGTCCAGCAGACCGTTGATGTGCTCCATAACCAACGAGGTTAGGTCAAGGTTAGGCTCGGAACCGGTTTCGGCCCCAAAGTTAAACAACGGCAGTTTTTGGGTTAGGCTGTGGGCTACGAGCGCTCCTGGGAATGGCGCCGAGCTCGAGGGGGTTTGGACGCTAACCGTCTGACAAACCCCGGAGGTTAGGCTTGGGGTTAAGGGAAACGAGCGGGAGGTCTCGTTCAAGGACGGCGTGCCGACGTGGGGCGACTTCAACGGGAGCGCAGCCGGGTTGTCGATCAGCAGCGGGCGCGGCTTTTTGAACTGGCCGCTCTGGGGGGGGATACTTCCAGCCCCCCACCAGTCATTACTGCGCCCCCCCCCCCGGAGAAGCCGCTCTGCGTACTCGGCAATCCGTAACCCTCACATCCGATTCCGTTCAAGGGCGCCGTCCCCCCCAATTGCTCCGACTTGGCGTAAATTACTTTCGGTGGGCCGAAGCTCCTCAAGATACCCTCCAAATCACACCGATCTGCTTTCCTCTTGCCCCCCGTTCCGTCGTTCTCCTCCGTTCCAAGTAGATCATTTGTCAACCCCCCCCTCGTCAGCATTTTACTCTGGGTCGCCGTGAAGAAACACTGCTCCGTCGAAGGCAGCGTCTCCGCCAGGAACGCACAGGGCGGGGCGACGTCAGCATCCGAAACCTGGTCTTTCGAGGTTTGGTCCCCTTTCGGGGGGTGCTGAGCCCAGCTGAATCCACCCCCACGAGAACCTCGCAACGGCCGGCCTTTCCCCACCCCCGAGGGGGAAACTCTCTCGCGGTCGGCGTGAGTATCCGGACACCGGAAGCGGACTGACGGATTGCTGACGTCATCGTTTCCCGAGCAGGGCTGCTCCAAAACCTGCAGCCAGCGAGAGCCTCTTTGCTGTCCGGGTGGAGGGCTGGGGGCGTAGGTCTCGCGCACTTCGCTCCTGCCACCCCCCACAACGACGCCGCCAAAACCCGTTGTCTCCGAAACCCCTCCCATTTTTCGCAGGGTCCCTTCTTCTGTGCCGTCCATGACGTCAGCGACGTGCCCGTTTGCTTCTGATTTAGGCGCGCGAACGCTGCTGCTGACGTCATGGCTGGGGGCCCGCCTCCCGAGCCTCGCCCGTTGGCTGAGGGGTTCCTCCTCGGAATCGGCTGACGCCGCATCCTCTTGCTTGACCTCGGCGCTGACGTCATCATCCGACGCCGAAGTGTTTTTGGCCGTTTGGGAGAGAACCCTGCGCTTCTTCTTGGCCCGCCTCTTGCCCTTCTCGGGGTTTGGACCGATGATTTCGGGTTTGGAGGGGTGCGCTTCGGTTGGAGACGAGTCGCCCGAATACTGGGCGATATAGTTGCGGAGGATGCCGTTGCGGGCCCTTTTCACATTGCGGAGGTCCTGCTAGAACACCCAAGTGAGAATAAGCTCACTGCCGTTGACTCGCAGAGCGGAATAGAAGTGCGTTAAGTCTTGGTTAGTGAATTGGCAACTGCGAAGCATATTGGTCTGCCACGAGAAGGGACTGGAGCCGTGAGGCAACTCATTCGAGGTGGCTTTCATAATAATGATCTTGTCAGAAGGCTGAACACTGCGGCGGGAAAGAAGAAGGCGCGACTGGGAAACAGAAGTCCCCAAAGACCTCTTGTGCACCTGTTGGCGTCGACTTTCTCAGAAACGTATTCACCGTCCAATCTAAACATTGTGTTCAAGCTGTTCACAAAATCATCAAGAAACAAACACGGTGTATATGTACAGGCAAGGGCCGTTTAACGAAACGGATTATATGTACAGGCAAGGGCAGTTTTTGAAGAAACAATTGAGCCAGACGCATAACCACCGAAAAGAGTTCCCAAATGGCGGGCTGAGTAGCCCACCTTGCAGCGAGCGGTGCAGTGCCAGTGGTTCTTGATGGCGTTCTCGCTGCGGCCCGGCATGTGGCGCGCGAGCATGGCCCACCTGCGGCGCAGAGGGAAGGGGTTCGAAGGTGTGATTGACTGCCTTTTAAAGGCTCGACCTTCGAAGGTAAGTCTCGGGAGTTCGCAATAGGGACTTGAATCGCCAGACGACTAGCTGTTACTGAGTTAGTCAAACAGAGAAGCGTTTGTCGTCTTTGAGCTAGAGGGGCACAATCTTCGAATTGATCGGACGAAACGAAGTGTGATTCAATGAACGGTTTATTGCTCAATCTTGTCTGGTCAGGACTGCAAGCGGAAGGGGGTGCCACGAAAGAAGCAGAGAACGAAGATCCAATGGAATGGCAGTTCCGATTGTCGAGGCTCTCTGCCGAGTGCAACCGTTGGACTGCGCTTCCCATTTACTTTCGTAACAGCCATGCAAACCGTCTTTTTGTGAAAACAACTGAACTCTGACGGGCATGTTTCAAATATGACATCATTCTCCAGGAGGCCAGACTAGGGGTAGCAGAAACGCTACCGATTGACGTGCCGAGAAGCCATGCCAAGATGCAGTCGACCACTTTCTTGCCTTCCCAAGTAGTGCGTGTTTCAGAATGCGATACAAAGCGGACTTTAAACCAGCCATACCTGCTGCCAATCTCCCGGTGTAGGGCCACCAGGCGCTGTTCTTCTTCCTCCGTCCAGTCGGACTGCAGGCAGAGAGGCAGATGATCGTGCCCGGGTATCTGACACTAGGTTTTGGATATTCATGCGAAAGGACTCATGTTGCAGTGTACCCCTATTCAACAGTTTTAATGCTTTGACCAAGAACCCTGAGCTTCAAGGGTTGAGTTTTGCAGGCAAACAACTGCTTCGCAAGACCTCCGCATCTTCTGGCTCCTAAACTCATGCCTCTGAGCAGCAGGAAGCTTTCCGAGAAAAGCTTGAGTCTGGGCAAGCGACTTTCATATCATACTTGTTGGGGGCTGTCGCTCATTCAAAACCATTTCTCAACAACTTGAGAAGTCCGTCAAACAGCACACCGACGGTTCGAGAAGTCCCACGTTTCAATTCAAACCTTCAGCAAACGCTTTTTCAGAAATCTCCCCATTTTCACCCTTCTATCACTCCAGTTTCAAACCCCCTTCTTTGAGGTCTGAGTGGGGCGTGCTGTCTCAAAGTGTGCGACACAGTTGAACACGCAAAAGACGGCATGCAGAAGACGTGTCCTCTAGCTCGGCGACCTGACGATCCCAAAACGGCCAAGCTCTTATCGTCTCAAGCTCCCCCGGTACTTACGTCGGTCAGATTTGGATCCAGCACGTTGTACCAGCGGTTGCGGCACTGCTTCCCGGTGCGCTTTCCGAGCACCCGCCCCGCGGACGCCCAGCGGTCCATGCCCTCCTTCGCCACAAACGCGCGCAGGACGACGTCCTCTTCCTGAAAACGCCGATGTGCGTACGTGCACTTTCAGGCGGGTGTTCGCATCTTAGCTACGCTCTTAAGGGTTAACCGAAGCTTCAGAGGTCTTTAATACGCCTGTTGAAATTTTATGAGAAATTTGTATATGGAGATAGGACATTCTTTCCACAGGACAAAACATGGAGGAACTCTTCACTTTTTCCAGCGGATACGCAGGAGCTTTTTCTCCACATGTTCTGTGGTTAAATGGTTAAGGTGGACTTATGTCGAAGAGTATGCAAGTTGCATATGCAAGCAATTAAAGCACTGCTGCACTTTGGAACAGCAGAGGCAAGGATCGGACGAAGGCAGCTCGGTGCTCGCCAACGAGATTTGAATCCTGACTATTGTTGTCTGTCATGCTTGACTGCGCCTATATGATGTCATGAAGGCAACTATACCTAAGTTCTGTTAAGACTGTCTTGACTCCAAGTATGCTTGACAAGTTTGCTTCTGGAGGGGTGCCAAACGGTGTGCAGATGTTGTATGCAGAAAGTTTATCAAAATGCAAGTTGCTCACAAAGCTTTTTGAGAAACAAAGTTGACTTGGCAATGGGCCAGGAAGGCCGCCTTAACAGAGACGATGCGACCGTTTGCGTTATCGGAGGTGACCTTTCACGTCTTCTGAGGTGACGTTTCGGGTTTTCTGAAGTGAACTACGAGGAAGGTCGCCACAAAGGGGTGTATAGAGGCACAGATTGCAAAAGCGAGGGTGCTCACAGAATCTTTGCGAAACAGTTCAAATGCAAGCTAAGCACCCCAGGTGAGGGGAGATACCTTGGACCAATTCGCTCGGGATCTTGGTCGGCCTGGGTTCTGTTCGCTGTTGCAGACGGTATCTCCTTCCAGCGCCTGGAATGCAGTGCAGATCACAGGGTCAGAAATATGTTTCTGTTTGCCTTGCTCCCTTTGCACGGTATAGCATATTTACAATGAAAGCAAGGAGAGTTCTTTCTTGAGTTCCTCAATTTGCATCAAGCTTCTCCTAGATTCCAGCTAGTGAAAATATTTGAGGCAAGAGTGCGACTTTCTCCAGTCTATTGAAGAGACAATACATGCCCAAGCAAGCAGGCAACCAGGCAGTCTTTCCGCTAATGGTATCAATCTCAGATCACATTGATTATCGTTACCCAGTTTTCTGCATGGCACACCAAGCCCAGATGTCACAGCAATGTCCAATCTGTCCTTGCTCGGAAATCTGGACAAGCAGTCCCCACATCCTGAATTCCAGCCTGTTCTCTGGTTCAGAGGACGTTGCCACAAGAGCCTAAGGTCACTACTTTTGCATAGAGCAACCTGGCACAAGTGCTTAGCTAAAATTATGGTGTCTGCTCAACCATCTTCTACTAAAATTCTGTAGTCCAGTCTATTAGAATCCTCCTCAAATTACTTGGCATGCATGTAACTTATCAACTCAGGCTGCGCCCCGGCACCAAGCTCACCTGATGCTCATCGTTGATTCTGGCTCTGGCATCTTCTTTGGATCTTTGGGACCCGTCCATGGAGGAGCTTGACCCGCTACCCTCTCTCTCCAAACCCTCTCCTGGCTCAGCTGGTTCGTTCTCCTCCCTTCCAATGAGACAGCTTGGCATGTCACAGTCCACCGAAGCGTCAAGTGACACAGGCATGTGGGGCTTCATTGGTGCCAAAAGTGCCTGCATTTTTGAAGGGGATGCACTTTTCAAACCAACACCAAGGAGTGAGCACCTTTCAGGGCAAGTCTGGAAAGGCATGCATTTAAACCTTAGGTTTTGAAAGACCTGCCAGCTCATGTACAAGGCAGACAGCGCCACCTCTTGCTTTGTCAGAAAAGGGAGCTTGCTTCCTTGCAGTGGCATCAACCCTGTGTGGCCATGAGACTTAGCGTCATGGTCACTTCCTACAGGTCATTTCCGCAATGTTCATTTGAGCACACGGCAAGGTCACGCGCGTGCCTTGGGGGTCAATGAGCGGAAGGAGAAGCTGATACTTCGGTCTCTTGTGCAAAACCAGGCTGCTAGCAAAGAAATCCTGATGTGCAATGAAACTTACTCAATCAATCAAACTTAAGGAATTCCGTCTCGCAGCTCAGGTTAAAATCCTAGGCAGAACCTGAGCTAGGAAACTCATGGACAGACGTTGTGATCTTCTACACCCCTGGTCAGACAGGCAAGCAGAAGTAGAATCCTGCCAAGATCAGAAAGTCAATCAGATTCCACATCTGCTATCTGGCAGATGAAAGGAATTTGCCAGTGCCAGGAATATGACTTTCTGATGTAAGCCAAACGGTCCTCTGATTTGACCATTGTATTTGTCAACAAACAACCTGCACATTCTATCTCTGCTCAGGGCTTCAGCAGCATGCTCCTAGACCTAATTAGCAACCCTTCTTTGCAGCAACAGTTCACTTGCACTACTGAGAAGTGACCGCAAAATTGCCGTGTAGAACATAACAGAGAAGTCAAGCCGTTGGCCCTCGTAGGCTTTTGATAGATCTTTTAAAAGCCACTCAGTGTCACATTAGAGCAGGTGGATAGAGATTTCGTTGAAAAAATTCACGGATCTTGTAGCATTGAACAGAATTCCGCACAACTGAATGTCCAGCATAAGAGCCTTGCCCCCAACACCTGCTGCCAACCTTTGCTCAATTGAAGGAATTGACATCCCTGTAACCTGCTGGGACATTCTTCATCTTCAAGCTCAATTTCCCTCTTTAAGTAGCAGAGCAAAAACTAGAGAAGACAATCTACCCGCGCTGATCACACACTTTACAGCTGATGGCAATGCCTGCAGTCTCCTGCCGTTTCACTGACGATGCCAGGTTGCGTGCTGTCTAAAGGCAGCGGAACGCCTTAGCCACCAGGTTGTCCAGCCTGTTTGGGTGCCTGCTCAGGAGCCCCTCAATCAAAGGCTGCTCAACTTTGTTTTGAGATGCAATTGCGCTCATTGACAACACCCCTATTGTGATCATGCTTCGCTGATCACCCCCCAATGAAAGGCAGCGCTGTGCAGGCCGCGCAAGCATCACCAATCTCTGCCCCCACAAGGTGCTTCATTGTCTATTTTCTGCGAGACATTCCGCACATCGCAGAATTCAAGGCTGCGTCTGGCGAACTGTCAATGTTTCCTGGTCAAATGTGGCCCATCAGGGAACCTAGTAATAGGAGACTGAAGACGACTACCCTGTAAGATGATTGTCAAAACTCAGCTTTAACTTTTGAATATTTCCAATGGACAAGACTATTCATTGGGGCCAGCTTTTAGATTATAAACGATCATTGCTGACGCCGCTTCTAAAGGCTTCCAACAGCTTTAAGCGGATTGCTTGGCAAATCCCCCCAGCTAAGGGCAGCTGAACGCTTGATGAACGCCAAAACCTCAATCCTGTTGAGAAAACAATGCCCTGGTCCCTGACCCCTCAAAACATGCATGCAACCAACGTCTCCACTATGCTTCAGTGGCCAGATGGTTGCATTAGAGGGTACCTGTCCTAGGTATAATAGGTATAGGATTTCCTGTGAAACATGACAGCACAGAACTTCAGACGCATACGCTGATCGCCTTTCGACTTTTGAGACAGTGGCCGGCGCCGATCGGACCCCGAGCGGAGCGGAACTCCTCACGAGATGGTCACGACCTGCCAGGACCTAGGTACAACGTCGTCAAATCTAGTACGGTACGGACCTCGGTACTCCAAGTTGGAGATAATTGTAGACCGTACGATGTGCCCGGGAGAGCGTCTATGATAACGTAAATGAAAGAGATCGAGATTGTTAGAGGAATCAGATCCATCATCCCGTTCTAGTACCTTTTTGGCAGGGTATTTTTACCCCCTCCTAAATCCAAAACCCGCGCACGGGGGTGTATACGTGCTTGAATCGTAGCCCCCCTTCAAATTCAAGGCTCCTGGAGTCAAATACACTTGATGGCGGACTTCTGAAATTCTGAATATTGGTCGCTCGAAAATAACAACCGCCCTTGATGAAATCCGATCCGTTCGCCAGCTGGTCGGAGATTCAGATTCTCGATAAATGATCCCGGCGAGCCCAGCGCGGCGGCAGATGGTACGAGTCACGACGTACGGTACCGTGCCCACTAACCACGGTAGGTACGCTTTTAACCTACAGGCTAGCCTCTAGGTACTGCAGGCACTTGCAGGAAAGGTGGATACCGATTGGTACAGCAGTTTCGCGGCAGGCTTCCCGGTTGCTTTCGATAGAAAGGGTGTATTTAGTCTAAACTTACGCTAAATTTAGTCTAAGTTTAGTTGCGTTACCAGACCAATTGACGTCATAGATGTGACCAATATTGATACGTGGCAAAGATTCGGCGCGTCAGATGGGCCCTGAGCAGCGGATCTACGGCTCGGTTCTCACCTTGGTTTTAAATGACGCCAAAGCAAAAGCTAAAACTTAGACTAAATAGCCTAAACACAGACTAGATTTAGACCCTAAATACACCCTATCTATCGAACGCAACCGGGAAGCCTGCCCCAAAACTGCTGTAACCCGCGGTGCCTACTGTAGCTGTGGTAGGTACCTACTGGATTCCGGGCCAATTTTATATCCTGCGGGTACAGTACGATACCGTACCCGGCTACCGTACCGGTACGGGTCACACAATGACTCGTAAGATACCGTCTGACAAGTTTTCCGTACCGCAACTTAAATTAATTGTGTTGCGTTGAAACCTCACCACGTGGCAAGCCGATTGGCTGGCCATTGTGCACGCCGCAAGCAGGT